GACCAGGGGCCACCACCCCTGAAGGAATCAGGGGCGTGGCAGCACCGTCACTCCGTCCTCAATTTCTTTGAGAGCAGCGCTTCGATCTGCTGCATCTGAGAAGAGAACAAGGCCTGCATTTGGTGACCATGCGATTCCATTTGCTGGTTCACCTGGGAGTGGAGGGCTTGGTACTGGGTGTCTTGCCTTGAGATGCTTTCTTCAACCTTTTGATCCAGCTGTTGTTGTCCAGCAGTAAGGGCATGGACTTGATGCTCCAAGGCCAGGAGCCTGGCTTCTTGCTCACCTGTGCTGTCGATTTCCATGCCAGGCGGAGGGATTTTGGACAAGATGGACTTCTCGATCCTGGATTCAAATTCCTTCAGGGCGACATCAGTCGGAGGCTGCAACCGGGGCGGAGCAGGAGAGGTCGCAGAGGCCCAGGGGTCATTCAAAATCCAAGGGTCGACCCCGGAGGCAGCAGAATCCTTTGAGCACATTTTGACGGTGGCACTGGATCCAACAACCCGAGACGTCGCAGGGCTGGCAACACTGGGCTTCTCAGGGACCGACGTGATGACAATCTCTCGGCCTTGGTATCGGAACACCGATTGCGGAGGTGGGGTGCTGGCTTGGATCAACCAGATGTTGCCTAAATGGCCCTCAGCTGATCTTGCCGGATGCAAAGGTCTCGCCTGCCACTGCCAGGAACCGCAGAGCTTGCTGACAGAGAGTCTGTCCATGCCAAATGGCAGCGGCCCCACTTCGAACATCAGTTTGGATCCTGCCGCGAGGAAGATCGAGTTTGGCTTCAAAGTTTTAGCAAGTTCTGGCGCATCCTGAACACGACATCGAACACCAAGCCTCGAACCGAGACGTGCAAGGCCTTGGATGTGCGGAGTACATTGTTGGAGCCGGTGTAGTTCTTCCAAAGGTGTCTTGGCAAGCCACAGAACCTGAAAGTCCAAGAGAGGGTCACGGCCATCAAGTGACCTTGGTTCCAGGAACAAACCGCCACGCCCAGAACAGCACAGAACCCGAGTGGACAAGGACTCCAAGACACGGACATTGACAAGGAAGATGTCGGCTTGTGCAGGAGCAACTGGGCGGAAAGAGCCCGAGAGCCACTGACGGCGCCAAACATCAATGACAGGATCAGCCACAAGGTCATCAGGGGACGGGTGCCACTTGAGACAGGAACACGATCCACCGACCTGGACAGCAGTGCAAGTTTGGAGAGGTTCCAGCAAGTTCAACACATATTTGACAGGGCTTTGCACAACCTGTTGCCAGTCACCATCAATGGCATCACGGTACAACGCCAGTTTCATACAAGCGGCTGAAGCATGCATGACGGCAGGAACCGAGTCCACAGGTTTGGGAGACACCGTGAGCTTGCCAAGTTGGACCAAGACACCAGGGGCAATCAAAGGTTCACCATTGGCCTGGCACCGCAAAACGGACCGGACAGAACTCCACGGAAGAGTGGTGGGGATGGCAAGTTCGTCCACATTGAGAATCAACAGAGCCAAAGGTCCCTGCGACACCAACTGAGAAGCTCTCAGATAGGCACCTGCTTCATCCAAGGACGTCAAGACAACACCAGCAGCAAGAGGGCCGATATCAGTCATCTGCAAATGGGACAGGACGGTACCGTCAGGAGCAACAAAGGATTCCTCTTCGATAGAGAGCTTCACAGGGTCGAGGGCAGCCGGAGCCTCATGTTTGGGCTGGGTCTTGGATGGGCCAGGGGCCTTTTTCCGCTTGCCTCGCATTCCACCTTGTTCAGCTTTCTTTTGCACAGAGAGTTCAAGTTCTTCAGGCAAAACCAGTTGAAAGGTCGGCTTGCAGCTGTTGGCAGCTTGTTTCAAAGATCTCCACGGCTGTCCCCCAGTGAGAGCCTTTTGGGCGGTTGACACACCAATGGCTTGCAGCAGCAGGTTGGAACGTGCATTCACCTGACTTGGATCAACCCCATGGTCCAACAGCAAGTTGTGTAACCGTTCGGTCGCTTTGGCATCAAGACCAGCACCAAACATCCAAGCTCTCGGAACTTCAACCAAGTTGTCAAGGTGTGCCACAAACAACGACCGGCCCACAGAATGGAGATACTGGCATTCGGAGACGTCAGTTGGAAGCATCTTGCCACGAATCATGCTGTCAAGAAACCGCAAGGCACAGATTCCACAGTAGGAGTCGGTCGCAAACTTTCGATGCACGATGTGGGCCGTATACGTGCGAGAACCAACGGCCAAGGCAAGGGCAGCATGAAGAGTGGAAAACTCATGCGGAGGAGACCCAGGCACATCCCAACTGGCAGCAATCATGCAGGACGGAGTCCAAGTCCACATGAACGGAGTCCAGTGACCAGCAAACATGACAAGGCCCAAAATCGCAGTTGGTTTGACCGGCAGGCCACGCAACCAAGCTGAAAGAAGTCCACTGCTTGGTTTCTTCAAAGCTTCAGCAGCGATGATGGGGTCCAACAGTACCCAAGAAGGTTTACGTGCCGCTTCCAACATCTGATTGACATGCCAGATCAGTTCATCATCAGCCCAAAGGAGACCTTGGTTGGCCAGGATCTGCTTCCGAGATTCCACATCAATGCATTGACGACGCAAAGCTTCCACAGTCTGGACATCAGACACAGCTGGGGGTGGAACAGACACCAAGCTAGGTCCATCAAGTGACGCCAAAGGTTCAGGACGGGAAGCAGAAGAGCCTGACGCAGGCACAACAGGGTCAGCCACACACAAGTTGTCTCCATCTTGGCCAGAAGAGGAAGGCACGGGGTCGTCCAACTGGGTAGACGAGGAGTCAGGATCCATGCATTCTTCTTCAGGCTGAACAGGGTCCAAGGGGTCTTGAGTGAGCCAAAGGCACAGACCAGCTGCAGCATGTTCAGGAGACAAAGTCAGGCCAGACTGACAGTCAATCACCCGAAGTCGATCGTCGGCAAATCCAGTGAGATCACGGTACGCAGCAACAACCGCCGCCACAGGATCATCGGTGTTGGACAACCGGAAGCAAAACGGGACAGGTTCTTCAGCCAGCACCAAAGTGACAGAGTCAGAGCCTCCTGCATGACTGAACTTGGACCAGGGTGCGAGAGACGGATCATCAAGCGGCAAGTCCATGGAGAGTTCAACCGGAGGTTCAGGCAGATTCAAGGGCTGCACAGGCTCAAAATCCATCAGATTGCGATGTTCCAAGACAAACGCACGCAAACAGTCCAGTTGGTACTGCGGGTCAACCTGGCTGGAGCCATCAAAGACCTGGTCAAAGTGCAGCTGGAGCTGGGATCCAATCCAAACAGTGTGAAGAGGGCTGCACATCTGTCCCAAACCTGCCAAAATCAAACGGAGATTGCTCGGCCAGAAATGAGCAGGGACCCCATTCAAAAGTCCAACCTCCAAGGGGTGAGGATGACGCACACGCAAGTGGGAAGAGTCAGAGTTGGGGTCATGAACTGGCAGAAGGACACCGAAGAGGCCACGTGCCGACAAGGTCTGAGAGCTAAATCCACTGGACCTACACTGACATTCACAACCAACGACCTGGGAACCCCACGAGTGCAGAGCTGTCGGTGCTTTGACATCGAGGCGCAACAGCATCTTGGACAGGTTTGGCTCATACGACAAAAACTGTTCCAGTTCAGAGCCGGTCAATTCCAATTGGAGAAGGGCATCGGGGGACACAACAACAGGACTGGACATGATGTCTCGGGGAATCCACGAATGCTTCGACTGCACGAATGCCTGCAACGGGACTTGGCCTATGAACTCAGCGGAAAGGACGGCCCACCAACGGCTTCGCCTGGCGACCCAAATGTCCTCAAGTTTCAGGACCACTTCGGAGAGGTGAAACTTGCATTCCATGCGAAATCGATCGAGCTGATTTCGGACCATGGCGTTTGTCCCGGCATCCTGTACACACTCCAACACAATCACTAGAGATCTCAGCATGTGTCCCACCTTCAAGCTTTGCTCAAGGGTGTTGGACCGGCTGTCGAGGGCACCTAACTGCTGGCCTCCTGAGCTGAAAGGTTGACATGAAAAACCGCTCATCAAAATCCCTGGGCGACCATGTAGGCTGTGGAGCTTCTTGACAACGTCCTTGTTACAGATGTCTCCATGAACCACCGGTGTCTGAGGATGGATCTCAGAAAACGCTTCGGTGAATGGACCTGACCAATCACATGCAGCGACCACCTTCATACCTGCTTCGATGAAACCAAAGGCACCGATACCGATCCCACTGCACAGCTCAACAATGTTGTAGAGGTCCTGCCTGTTGCCACGTTTGTGGTACAGTACATCTGTCGGATCTTCCACCTCGAAAACCAAGAAGGGCTCTTTGTCCAGCAGCTTGGCATCGAACACTGAAATGCAGCAACAGTCAGAAGGGATGGAAACTCCAAAGAACTTCGCTTTGGTTCCACAAGGCACCAACGATGTCAACGCACCTCCATCGTGGTGCGAAATCAAATCGGCCACCACGTCGATCTTCGTACCCAAGGCAGTGTCCGGCTGCCACACCCAGTGCCGAGACACGCCTGGGTCACCCCAAACCATTGCCAAGCAGAAACACACGGCAAACGAACCCACCCAACCTTTGGCCTGCACCGCTTCCCCGCTGGTAGGGAGTTGGGCCGGATGCTAAATAAAAAATGTTTGAAACCACCAACCAGTCATTTATCAAAGTGATTTCAACCCTGACCCCCTGACCAACCAATTGATGTCCAATGTTTCATATGACAACTAAAGCCTCAAATGATCTTGTCATTTGTTTACATGGAATTTGTCCCCAGGGCCAAACAAATGGGCAGCAAAACATCACATCATGTCATGTCCTAAACCTGTGGTTTTCATGATGGATATGATGCTAGACACGTTGGATAATTAATGACTTACACCTCAAAACCTCTGAAACCTGAAAATTGTCTATAAGTACACGCCAATAGTAAATAGTATTCAACGGCAAGCCCCTTGCCAGACCCATGTGTTTCCCTGGCAAGGCACATAGTTCGGATTAAAAATTTCCCTGGCAAGAGCTCCATACCATTCCTGGCATCGCCAGGCATCCACAGGATGAATGTTGATTTGAAGGCTGTCTTATTGGGGGCTGTACCATGTTAGTAGTAAATCACAAGTATCTTCTGGGAACCCCCTAATTCATGACTCAACCAGGCTTGATTGATCCGAGGTTGACACATGCTCAGCAAAACACGCGGGATGATAAGCAACCCAACTAAAGATACTATGCAGTAATACAGTACCCCAACAATTGGAAAGCAACCAATCTTGGAGAATCCCAAAAACAATGCACTTCCACTCCGGTTGCCGAATCACTTTAGATCAGTTCGTGTCCTGTCTGTACTACATACAAATGTCATTCACTGGTGAAAGACTATCTTTGGATACTCTTATATAATCATTCTCACACAGAATCCCCAAAACCATAAGCAAACAGGTCAAATTCAACTTATCACTCAGTCATTTGGGCGCCGTCAATCTATTCCAGGGAACAAATTTGGTCATCTTTGCAGGTAGAGATTACTAGAAACGTTTCACAGATCTGCAAACAATGACTTGTTGTTGAAAGTAGGTTGAAAGGTTCAACCATCAAGTTTGGATATATATATATACATATGAGGGTATAATAACCGAAAAAAACGAATATCTTATGGGATATGGGATATAGAACCAAGAACCAACAATATGATATGTGGGTTTTCTGAACATGTACCCGCAACATACTCCAAAATGGCAATGTTGAAGGGAAGCACCAGTGGATTTGGATTAGCCAATTTCAAGCAAATTCAGACAGCCCTTTGAAAAAGGAGTGGATTTGTAGCAGGATTATCTATGGCTCAAACTATGTCACCCATCAAAGCCAACCATTCACCTTGTACTTTAACAAACTTCACCCAGCAAGCAGTTCTCAGTCATACTGCCACTACCTAGACCCCGTACCCTTGAAGATGGCTCAAACATTGAGCATCTTGCTATAACCCTAAAATGATAACCTAAAAGAACATACTAAAAGCCAACAAACCCAACATAACAATAAATGCTATATGTTATCCTTTTAGAGTTATTTCATGTTATATCATAGTATATCATAGTATACTATATGTTTAGTGTTATTTAATGACCATCCGAATCCAACATAACATGATAACCCAACATATTATAATTGTATGAAAATAGAATAAAACCCGCATATAATGACAATTAGTGACAACAACTCATAACAACTATCTTCAGAAAGGAACGTCTGGGTCTGTCTGAAAATTGTGTATAATGTATACCCCTGAAATGGGACTTTCAATAAGGACAATGATGATTGACCAATGGATTAAAAGCACAATATTTTCAGTCAAACCCATGCCTCTGCTGAATTACCTAGATAGGCCATGGAGTTAGATAATATAATATATATATATGATAAGCTGATAACAACTAAAAAAACATAAAACACACAACCCAACATGTCCCATGAGTTTTTCATCGTCTCTCCCAAACAAATAGGGCCGTCTTCGTGCTCTATGCCTGCCTTGGCAACGCCACCGGCATCGATGCCCTCTTCCCCTTGGAACTGAACCTGGCGGGTGAAATCAGGAAATGCTTGGCCACAATGGAGATTTACCATGCGTTCATCATACAAACAACCAGGGGAAACCTTGGGAAAATGATGATTTAACCAACAAGAAATACTGATCTTTCTGTTTTTTTTTTGCGGTTTGTTTCTGGAATTTCATGGGATTTTAGACTCTGGTAAACTAAGACAACTATGGACAACCAGCGTTTTAATCGGTAAATCCTCTATTTGGAGGTTTCCTGAAATAGGGGTACCCCTAAATCATTTATTTATATATAGATGGATTTTCCCTTATAAACTATAAACAATCCATTTGGGGGTATCCCATGTATGAAAACCGGTATCCCATGTATAGAAACCCCCATTTCTATGGCCTATGGCCTATTTTCCATAAGGACAAACCATTTACCACGGCACTGACAGCGACATGGCATGCCATGGCGAGTCATTGTCCATCTCAATCCGCCCATGTGAGTCGTTGGCTGACTATAGATCCTTCATAATTCACAAAGGTGGATATATAGTTGCTAATGAATATTATATAATCCATATTAAACTCCAGGGTTTCATAATTCAGAATAATCTACTATGGAAAATGGGTGATTTGTAGTTGGTTTACCGTAATAACAACTATGGTGATTTCCCAGTTCGCTATGTTAGTTTACCAGAGGGTAAGTCAATGTCACTCCCCAGTGCCCGACACCGCCAAGGCGTTCCACTGCACCTGAATTTTGGCTCTCATTTCCTCTCCGCTTCTGATCCGCAACTGGTGATACGAATCCTCAACAGGCGCCCACCGTGCAGTTTGTGGCAAATCGTGGCACCCAACAGCGGTAAAACATGTTTGATAAGACTGAACTAACCAATATTAAATTGGAAAACAAATTGTTAGAACAGTGGTAAAACATGTTAGATACCAGAAACCGTGTCACCAATATTCATCATAAATTCGAGGCTACTATACTGTACCAGATTTTTTCCGGACCGACTTTTATATGTTGATGGGATGGTGGTCGAGCCAACCCGCAGACATGATGGACATGAAGTGATCTACTTGTCACCAACAGCCTCATCTGTGTTGGAGATCTGCAACTGCAAGTGTGGGAAATTATTACTACGATAATCTATATGATGTATCTATTTTACTAATGTGGGTAAGACAATAATAAACCATCCCCCAAATCATAAATAGTTGGCAATTGGTGGTATAAACCATTCCCAAAATGGGTGGTTTATTATTGTTTTACCCACATTACTGTGACATGACGTATCAACCCCCCCAAACCATGCTGCTTTCGGTGAACCCACATCCTTCCCACATCTCCACGAGTCTCACCGTCTCACCACCGCTGGGTTCGTGTGGGCCACCAAGGCACCATGAAGATCTCGTTGCGTCGCACGCGCAAACGAATGGTTTGGTATCTGCTCTCCAGGCGTCGAGACCTCAAGCGGCGAAAGGCAAGGGCCCGGGTTCGCCAAAGGCAGCTGGTAACGGTTAATATCTCCGGTGTATAGAAACATAGCCTTGGCAATACCCAAGTAGAGTATATCAGCATATCATGGTTAAATATGGTTAGTACATAGTACAATAAAACAAAATATAGTAGTATAATAAAGTACAAGTGAATTTAGTACAATCATAAGTTATACAATATGACATAATATACTATAATAAACAATAATATAATAAAAACATAATATAATATACGATTATATACTATAATATGATATAATATAATATAGTATAATATTATGCACTATAGTATGAACAAATATTATATAATGTTAAAGAATAACGGATGATAAAATATATGACATGGTATGATATAATATTTTATTTAATATGGTACAATAAATTATAGTTTATTAGTATACTAAAATAAAATATGGTAAAACAAACTATCATATAAGCTTAAATAATATAACATATATAATACAACATAATAACATATAATATAATAAAATAAAATATAATATAATACAATGTAAAATAATATATAATATGATATATAATAGGATTATGTAATATATTATACAATATGATATAGTAGGATATAATATAATATAATATAATATAATATAATATAATATAATATAGAATTATGCAATATATGAAATAATATGATATGATATGATATAATAAAATATAGTATAGCATAATACAATGTAATATAATATGATATAATGAAATATACGTATAGTATAATATAGCACAATAAAATACAATGCAATGTGTATATAAATATATATATATATACGTTTATATAAATATAAATATATATATATGTCAGAGCTTATGGCAACAGATAAACACACACCAGCTTCCATCCAGTGGGTTCACCCACTGTGAAACGGCTTTCTTCCTTTTTTGCAGGCCCCAATAGGTAACTGGCTACCATTGTATCGTTCAAATAAATCTATATTACATTATACTTAAACCAAAAAAACTACCATTGTATATTATATTATATTATAATATAATATAATATTATATTATTCTATTATAATACCAATGGTTAGTACATAATATTTTACTATATCATACTATATCTAGTCTTAATGTAAAATGTATAGCAAGTAGCTATTGAATATGGACCTATGGATAATTGCCCATTTATATACAGAGTCTATGATGATTTACTTAGTAAACTATACTATTTTTTCCATAGCAAACCCTAAAGTTACCAGAGGGTATATGGAATATCCCCATGTGGAAAAACCGCTTGTCAATTTCTGACATGGACCTTTGGGAATCTTTCAGCATGCCAATGCCAGGGCCCCTTGGTGAAATAATCCAGTTGTGGTAATCCACAAGCACCAAAAGCATTGCGATGGTGAAGGCAATGTGAACGGACAGGTATCCCGTGTTAATCCCATGCTGCAACCTTGCCTTCCCAACAGTCATGTTTGGGATATCCAAAAAAACATATCCGAAAGAATAACGATGGAGTTTCGAGTTTCCAAGAAACCGGTCCTAAGATGGGTTTGACTCAATTGGGCACAACAAAATCCAATGGTTTATTGTTTTTTTCACTTACATTTTTTTTGTGCAAAATCAACCGTTTCCAGAAGCACCAATACATCACCATTGTTACATCGATATGTATATATATATATACAGTATGTGTCACAGTATATCCTGTAAAATGTTCATGTATATGTTTACTCATATACCAACTTGTATCACAATACCATATTCCAACATTTGATGATTTAAACATAGTCATGGAACGCCATGGAACATTTGTAAGTTTGTAATTATCAGTTTGTAGGTTTTTATACGATGATGATTACCTATTAATATAAAATGTTTACAAATAAATAAACAAATATAAATATATACGTATAAATATCATTAAATCAAAAATGAAGTATTATACTGATACCAATACTTATTTATTTATATTCTGATTTTTTCTTTTATATAATTACTAATGTTTATTTTTATGACAGTTCAACATGGCCATGTTCTACACCTATCTTACATTACCAGTGGGTTTTCCACTCTCAACCGGTGAAGTTTCTGGCACTCCGCACCTCAACTGTGCCCTGGCAAGGATGACATGCCAAGCGCTGATTTGGCTATCTAGACCCAAACCATGGCGTTCCTGGTGACAAAATGTTTAATTTTGTGATTTTGGAGATTCCCATGTTTTTTCCAAAAATGGAAAGATTCAGAGGTTGGACGCTCTTAAAAACGCAGAATGGCAGCAGTTGCACCTAGAAATCAAGTGCTTATGGGTCAAGATTGGGTACCCTAAAATTCGATGGTCAATACCAAAACCAAAACAACATCTGAGGTCCCCTGGGTCAAACATTTTGAGCCAAAATGAATATTGAGATATGTTTGGACCCTGCCACACTGCCACACTGAGTGCCTGAAGTAAGCGCGCTTGTTGTCAAAGTCCAAACCTATAGTGTGCCGAAATCACTGAGAGGTCCAAAAATCGGGGAAGCACGGACCAGGGCACAGGGTTTGTTCAAGACAGACTATGGAATGATGGATTTGGGTGTGCCCCAAATTTAGCCATTTCATTAGGGAAATGATAACAAACCAATGGATTTTGGGGTCCCCTGTTTTCAGAGAAATCAATCTGAAATTTTGCCCCTGCTCGCTACTTGAGACCAAAATTGTCCAAAAAGACCCACGTCATCTCCTCAATGTATGTATACGTATATATATATATATACATATACACATATATTTGATAAATAAATTATCCCGGCAAGAGACCCCAAACAGTGTGTGTGTGTGTGTGGGGGGGAGAGTAAACGGGTAATGTATTATAATGTTGATAATAATCATGTTGATGATGATGACGATGACGATGACGATGATGATGATGATGATGATGATGATGATGTTAAAATAATAATGGTGATGGTGATGGTGATGATGATGATGATGGTGATGGTGATCATGAAGACGGCGAAGAAGAAGACAACGACGACGACGACGACGATGATGATGATGATTATGATTACTTTGATGATAATGATGATGCTGATAATGATGATGATAATGATGATGATGATGATAGTGATGATGATGATGGTGGTGATGATGATGATGATGATAGGAAGATGATGAGAGGGAGATGAGGAGAGGAAGATGATGAGAGGAAGGTGATGATGTGGATGTTGAGGAGCAGGAGGAGGAGGAGGAGGAGGACGATGCTGATGTTGAGGAGGAAGACCGATCCCAAGACCGGGAAGCGGGAAGCAGACTTTGTGCGAGCCTGCGCAATCGAAATGCACATGGGCATTCCACAGGAGCCATTTTGTATGGAAATTGAAATTTACAAGAAAAATGCCGGACGCCAATCCCGCGACACTCGTTTTGTGCGAGCCTGCGCAGTCGAAATGCACACGGACATGTCACAAGAGGCATTCTGTGCGGCAACTTACAGGGAAAATGCCAGACGCTTCCGATACCACCTCGATTGAACACCGGGCCTTAACACCTACTGTAAGAACCCCTCAGTGTGGACACACTGTTTTGGGAATAAAACAAATATTATACATCATGCAGAAATGCAGGGAAACTATATATCTGAAACACTTCAAAAAAAGGACAGCCAGACATCCAAATACACCGCAAAGATGTCTTCTGGATCAGGGAACAAGTAGGATTATGTTCTGTTTGCTTTGTTCACAATCAATGCCGTTATTGATTGTCATCCTTCCTTGTACCCAAATCATATCGGTCCCAATGCTCAAAACACTCGTGTTTGGTGCATCTACTTTGCTGACATGTTCATCTTTTCTGGTCGTATGTAAGACCCCTCGATTTTGACCCATCAAAAAGGATTGTGAATCATCGCAAATCTGAGCTAGATTGCCGGTGTTCAATTATCATCCCTGTAAGGAATATGTCCTAGCTTCTTATTCAGTGAACACCTATCAGCCCAAAAATAAACCACAAAAGCCATTGAACACCTATCAGCCAAAGGCTGACCCAGTATTGGGGACATCATGGTAAACATCAAAATAGCTGGAAATTGGATGTTTATTTCTGCCCCAAAAAAAACATCCCACAAGTACTGGCAACATTGTTCCCTATGTAATTACTATATATATATATATATAGTTCCGTTTTATCCAATCATCCCCTAATGATATGATTTGGTGGTACAACATCCCTGGATAAAATGCACCCAATATCGTTGCAAATTCTATTATGTATACCCATAAAATCCAAACAAAAAAAACATGTTTGGCTTCTATCCCCTAAATTCTTAACAGCGAATCCGTTTGGTTTCAGTCTCTGGGGCCGCGGACTGGTGACACGAAAATGCACGCCCCGCTGTTGGGTTGCAAAGCCGGGCTAATATCCACCATATTCCCATGAGTTGTCAAAAGCCAAAGGCCAATACCCTTATCGTCTATCCCATTAAGTTCCATTGATATACCATTCTATAAATCCAATGAATATCAATGAATAGCCATCAACTCCCACTCAATGACCATTAAATGAACATTCATGTTGAAATCTCATTGTTTAAGTTGGTTTAAATCACAATTTCCCAGTCGGAAACCCCCATCAAACGCCCAGAAACAGCTGGGCATCAGCTGCAACACCGGTGCAAAGGACTTGGACAACAGCGAAGGCGTCTGCTTCAGCAGGGCGTTCCTGAGAAATGCTGGGTGGAAAACATGGGAAAATGGTGAATTATTGGGTTGATATGGATTAATGATGGGTTTATATCAACCTTGAACCATTATATGTAATATCTGAAAATGGTGATAGGATGGCTTTCATTGACCATTGAAATGATGGGTTCATGTTTAAGGGATTTTAAGGGTAAATGGTCCATTTTGAAGTGCTGGGTTGTAATATAGGTTGATGGAGGGTTAATCTATCTACTGAGTAATGGTGGGTTGATGATATGAGGCAACAATCAACTGAAAGTACTGGATTAATGCTGGAAATAGCTAAGGGGTGATATTCACTTGGGTGGTATGAGGGAAATGTCTGAAAGGAAGCCGTCTGTTTTTTGGTGTTTTCATATGAATGTTGTATCATAACGAAATGGATTGCATGTATTGTTTTTTTGAAGGGGAATGTGGCAGGAACCTTAAGTTGGTTTGACTGAAAAAAAGGGTCCCCCCACTTCCAAAGGAATATTCTCATTTTCCCCATTGGAATTCTCATGGGTATCCCCTATTTGCAGACAATCCCAGTTGCTCGCTCTTATCATGGAAAAAAAATAGAGTTTCCCGCAAATGCCCCTTCATCCACTTATTGCTGAGGTTTCTTGCACGGTATATTATGCGTACACTTTTTTATGATCAACCTGAAGACCTTCAGCATCCTTTCAACGATGATAAACATTGGTATAGTTTTTGCGGATTATGTTGTGATTTTTGTTAACACATTGCTAGCGATACGTTCAGTAAACATCTTGAAACCACCACACTCATGTGTTTTGGCCAACTGATCTGCAAATTCAACTAGCTGCATGAAAACTGGCTTGAAGAAAGTGACAAAGTGCAAACGATGATAATTCTGATTGTCATTGCTATTATGACAATCATGATCATCATATTATCATCGACAGTAGAATATTTATGATGTTATTTTCAATACTATTGTTGATATCATGATTAAATTATTACTCTCATAAATATTATTCTTATTCCTATTATGAATGATCAGTAACAACCATTACTATATATATATTGAGTATGATTGCTATATATTGCTATTCTTGTTATATATTGCTATTCTTGTTATATATATATATATATATTATTATGATTACTATATTATTATTATATTGCTATATATATTGCTATTAAAACTATCATGACAAGTAGTCCCAACCCCCCACCTTTCCCACGCAGCGAGGCACAGCGGGCGCCGGTGCTTCTTGCAGAACTGGCCGAAGCGCGACTTCTCCGCGGCCGTTTGTTCGTGCTGCTCCGCGAAGACGTGCTGCGGCGACCTGGATGGAGGTGATCCGTAGAAGGGAAGGGCCGGATGGATGGGGGATACACCCATGCAACTTTAGATGTATATGTATATAACAATGTGTATATATATATATATATTATATATGTGCATTTATGTATATATATATAACCCAAATTGTATATATGATTATATATGTATAAATATGTTTTTATTATATGCATATATTACATATCCATGCACAAATCGTTTGTTACCACCAAATTCCTGTTCTGGGAGCACAGCTGGGAAAAAAACGATGTGGTAAAGTGGACGAGCTAAGGAGGAATGTGTCAGGACTGGATGGAAGATCGAAACTGGCACACACTGTTTTTCTGGTTTATGGAGGGCAACAAATGTTAGCCTCTGGTAATTTAACATAGCTATGGAAAATCCCCATTTTTAATGGGAAAATCCACTATAAATGGCCATTTTCAATAGCTATGTTAGTTTACCAGAGGGTAGCATGTTTGCAAGCATTTACTCCCAAAATGTGCAAGACTGTAGGGTGTTCGCCAGCGATTACTTCAAAACAGGAGCATCTAGGCAAAGATATGCCACTATTCGGAACGTGTAAGAAAATTATGTAAACGGTAATATGTAATGTTTTAAAGTATTGTATGGTCAGTGCGAAAAAAATCTGTAATTCCTCAGGTATATACGAATTGCGTGGGGGTGCAGCCCACTTGGTAAATGCTTTTAGCTATACTCCCAAAAAAGATGGATATAGTCTAAATATGAGAGTTTATAGATCAATAGATATATATTTTCCAAACTATACTCCTGTTCTAGAGGGCTTTTTTCACCACATCCAGATGCCTGGGATGCACATCCGGATTCAGCCTGGATGATCCCATGGGCAAATTTGACGGCGCTGGCGTTGGAAGTTTGCTGTGGTATCGATGTTGAACAGTTTACATATGGTTTATCTTTTTACCATAGATATAGTTATAGTTCCATAGTTATAGTTACATAGTTATATAGTTTACATGGTTATCTTTGTACTGGTTGGTGGTATACCTACCCCTATGAAAAATATGAAAGTCAGTTGGGATTATTATTCCCAATATATGGAAAAATGTTCCAAACCACCAACCAGTTTAACATGGTGATGTTCCATAGTTATAGTTACCAGAAGGTAAGTAGGCTAGTAAATGTTCCATACATGGAGCATACTTATATATATATACATATCACTGAGATCACTGAACATGGGGTTACGTATGATTGCATTTAGCACACTGGGAACTGAGTAGCCACTGGCTTCGAAGCTATTACAACCAAGATGTAGAATTTCACAGCCTGCTACTCTCTAGCCATGTAGCAACTTCAGGGCTTATACACACGTAAAATCCAACTCATCTTCCAAGGATGCAGTGTCCATTTCACAAACTCGGTCCGTCCATCTTCTGGGGATTTCAAAACATCACTGGGGGGTCCCCAGACCTGTGGGGCTTATCCCATCACATCCCATAATATTCCCATGAAATTCTTGAGTTGATACCACCATTTTGGTTAGTTGAATCACCATTTATGGACATTTAAAAACCTTGCTTGAATCCCTGAATCCCCACTTGTTGACACCAAACTGAATGATACTCAATTCACATTGAACCCCCTGCTGGTTGAACCCCTAGATTTGTTCATTGTTTTTTCTCCAACCAAGCCACGCATGTCGTGCCTTTGAGGACCGCGATCCCCCGGCCGTTTCGTTGCGCTTGGGCGACGCCGGGCTCGCTGGGCTTGCCGGCGACGTGACGCCGGTCGTGGCGTCGGGCAGGCGGCCGTGGAGGACGAAGAAGGCTTCGATCAACGGCAGCAGACGATTCAGCAGGGGCTTGGGAGGTGAGGCTTGGTTCATGTCCTTTTCGGCTTTTGGCGGTGTGAGGCTGACCTGGTGATTTGAATGTTCATAAGGTAGTATGTATATATATATATATTATATTTTTAATGCATGTGTAAATATATTTGTATATACATATTGTGTATACTTGAAAGTATGGTACGTACAAGTACTTGGACATGAACTTGATATGAACTTGATATGGGAAACTTGGGGATTTTTTTCTATGGTTCATATTCTGGTTGACAAATGGTGAAAGCACCCCAACAAAGACGCATTATATATATATCATGGTAAATTATGTTCCAACATGAGGTTGTATTTTTTTAATGGCACACAATGGCACCATGTTCTTCAAATATACTGTGGCTCATGTCCTCCACCGTGAACATAGGATGATGTTGTGGAAATATCTGGGCACATTACTGTAGTTGATCACATATTATAGCTTCATTCTAATAAAGTAAAAAATGGATTTACGGTGGATGTACATGTGTAGAGCTGGATGTGTGAAGCTAAGTGAAGAGCGAATTATAGTTTCACTGTTCCTGTCTTCCATAGGGTCTGGGAAAGGCTTGCACACACTGAACATGGCATAAAATGGCCCAAGAATGTTACGGTGATCTATGTTTCATGTCCTTGCAATCATGGGCCACTAGACCAACTATCACCATCAACATATACAGATAGTTACTAATACAAATGGAGTTACAATCACCACAACTGAGGTTGAACTGGGGTTGTGAATTATCGTTATCTTGTCCGATGGCAAAAGTGACAAGGGATGATGAAGAGACAGGACCCAAGAGGTCAAAGCCATGAGGTGTATCAAACCTGAAAAATGCCCTGGTGCATGGATGGAACATAAGGGAAAGTCCCGACAACCATATTACTGTGGCTAAAGTGAACCAATGTGTCCCATTTTGGTGGAGAATGTCCATCAATCTTGATGTTGCACATCGATACGGGTTGATACTCAAAAATCCCACTGATTATACAAAATGGTGCCCCATACTTAGCTAAGTTGGTTTCAAAATGACATTGGGTTTATGGTTTAAAAAAATATAGCTGATGAGGGCTATAAACCAACAACTAGGGGGGAACCACCGTGTAGTTATGAAACAAATCGACTATGCTTTCCACCATCTTTCCACCGTCTATCAGGACATTTGTAGCTGGGTTATATTTCCTTCTAGACCCTCCAAATAGCCCCAGCAAATGCTAAAAGTACTAAGATTACAGCGTCAAACACCATTTTGAAGGATACTCGGACGGTATTAGGTGTATATATATATATTATAATTGGTTTAGAATGAATTACAGTATCACTTATAACTCAGTTATATCAGTTACTCATTGCGTGACTCATCTAAATGCCACTTCCATATAGTTTCCATCCTTCTCCCATTAGTTCATCATCAGTTATACATAGCCTAGCTGGCCACAATCATTTCCCATGATCCAAACCTCTTGTGTTCCGAAATCCAAGGAAATCATGATAGTTCTTTCCGATATACATATAACCATTGATTTCCCACATAATTCTTGCTTATTATGGGCTTTAGCTGAAACTTGGATACCCCAATTCGGAATATGATCATTATCCCGATGATAAAATGGCCATTCATAGGGTACATTCCCCTTTTATCAGACGAAACCATACATCATGAACATATTATCATACACATGATAAACATCATCATATGAACTTGTATCATAGGAACCCCTGTTATGATGATAAACATAATCATTATTGCTACAGATCCCAAAAATCACCTGTTATTCCCTCTAAAATTCACCATGTACCACCAAGAATATGGATGAAATAATCCCATAAATCCCATATAAATCCCATATAAATCCCATCAGATCCCTATGAAAAATGGTCATTTAACCGTCATGACATCATCTTGTCGAACTCACCGGTCCCGGTATCTCCTGCGCGTCGGATCCGGACAGCAGCCGCTGCGCCGGCGTGGCGCTGGCCGCGGCGTCGTGCAGGGAATCCTCATGGAGTCCTTGGGGAATCGCTGAGATGTTACAGTACTTTATTCTATACCTATATAGGTTCTATAAATTTGTGTAATTGAATATATAGTTATTAGATATACATATGATCTAGATATAGAAAAATGTATAGAGTGCTATAGAATGCTATAGATATACATATATGATCTACATCAATACATATTGCCATATCATGCTATACCATGCTATATCTGTCTAGTTTATTGATGAACGAATGAGGGAAGAAAGGAAAGTATATTGACATGACATTTAGATGGGCCACGGAGTTGGTGAACTGATTTAGTTATAAATGATAATTCATTATAAACCAGTTATATACCTAAGACCTTCCAAGTAGCCTGAAATTCATGGTGGACCCGATCATCTTAGTACTTTTACATATGTTTACCCTTTTTATATTCGGAGGATCGGTACCTGAAGAAATAAACTGCGGATATATATGATCATAAAACTGAGAAGTAACTCACTAGTGGGATGGCTATATAACATTACTAACCGGTTCGTTCCATGTATTCATAAATATATATATATATATATCCAGAAGTTAGGATTTACTGGGGTCTGGATATGTTTTTTATACACAAATCAGTACTAATCATCATTCCAGCGATGTCGAGACGTGAGGTCGTCAAAAACCCGGCGGCTGGAACTCGCTTGGATGGCTTGGAAAGCCCTGAACTACTTGAACATGATCTGGGTAAAGGCCATAGTATTTCACTAACCTGAATAAAGGGGATAATCATGTATAATGATCTGGGTAATTTATTATTAAAATTATAATGATCTTTGGAAATCCCTGAATCTTGCGGCCATAAAAGGGGATTATTCCCCTTACACAACTATGATTTCCAGGGCTCGGGAGAACAGGCTTCGGTCGTGATGAAATTTACCCAGATGATGTAATACATGTAGATTTAAAGACGGGAAAGTCACGGAACTACATGGGAGACCGTCTCAGCAAACCATGTTTCAGCAAGCCACAGGGCATATGTAATATGTATGACATGTTCATTGGGATATGTGACTAGCCATTGGACTATCCGTCATAAGAGATCAATAACAAATGGACAAGTCATGAACAATTCTTGGAAAATAGTTGATTTTCTTGTCATGGGGGGTTTCCAGCTCAAGGATTATGAATGACTATGATAATCATCCCAAATATATGAACGGTATCATAATGTATAAACCAACAAAAACTAAAACCAAATTTAATGTTTCTTGAAACAGCTTAGCTGATTTTCTACCATACAAGTGCTGGGGTTTAGTCACCCGGAGTCGCAGTAAGTCATCCTCCGGCATGGGCACGCTACGTTATGGTAAGTCACCCGCCTTGTGGAAAGTCACCCGGAAAAAGAGAAAACACCATGTGAACGCTACAATTGCAAGATCTTCCCAATAGAGTTTGAAACAATGATTTTCTTACGCATGCTGAGGTAAAATCTGCATTTTCCTCGAATTTCAACATGATTGAATTCCAAATTAGCATGTGCACGCCGATTTGACACGTCTACTGCGACCTTCAAAAAGTGTATGAACCACTTGGAAAACTTACGGTACAGGCAGGCACACAAATCTGCAATGCATCATAACCAATTGCGGCACAGGAAAGGTAGCTGAGCGCAAGTGCCGCGCGAGTCAGCGCGAGTCAGCGCGAGTGCGGCGCGAGTGCCAGCTAAACCCCAGCCCAGGCCTGCCAAAACTCATTAGATAATCGCGGAGCTCGCCAAAACATCAAAACACCACACGCACGCCAACAAAAAAAATAACGCTTCGCAATCATTACATGTGTTGTCAGACATGCTGAAACATCAAAGTGCCCAGCTGCACGCCGCATCTAGGCGACTTTCTGCAGGACAAGACGGCTTGACCCAAGTACCTTCTAGAGGCCCCCAAGAAGATAGTCGTGTTTCGAGGATGCTCTATATAGATAATTTTTACCTCAAAATATCCAGGGTTCCAATCATGACAACATCTTGTTTGAAGCCACACCGACTGAGTATTTCACCAACAAGCATGCTTATGAAGCAGGTTGATGGAATCAACAAAATAGTGCGCGCATTTTTTTCCAACTATCTTAGCAAGAATCATAAGTGGGTTTGAGTTTACAGCGATAGCTGGACACATGACTTATTTTCCGCGCCAAAGTGCGCAGCTAAATGTACCTGAGCTGCTCTTGGACTCTGGAGCTGTCACCTCCCCAGACCGCAAAACCCCATGTCACCAAGCTTCCATCTGCCAAAATGGCAGCAAAAGCATGGTGTGTGCTACGAATTTGCTTAACATTCAAAATCATGTCCTGGACTCCGGAGCTGTCACCGCCATCGTCTGGTTTGCCCCATGTCACCACGGTTCCATCTGCCAAAATGGCAGCGAAGGCACTGCATGTGCCACAAATCTGATGAACATTCCTCAGCTGATCTTGGACTCTGGAGCTGTCTCCGCCATGGTCTGGATCGCCCCAGGTCACCACGCTCCCATCTGCCAAAATGGCAGCGAAGGCACTGCATGTGCCACAAATCTGCTGAACATTCCTCAGCTGATCTTGGACTCTGGAGCTGTCTCCGCCATGGTCTGGATCGCCCCAGGTCACCACGCTCCCATCTGCCAAAATGGCAGCAAAAGCATAGAATGCGCCACAAATCTGCTGAACATTCTGCAGCTGATCTTGGACTCTGGAGCTGTCACCTCCCCAGACCGCAAAACCCCATGTCACCAAGCTTCCATCTGCCAAAATGGCAGCAAAAGCATGGTGTGTGCTACGAATTTGCTTAACATTCAAAAGCATGTCCTGGACTCCGGAGCTGTCACCGCCATCGTCTGGTTTGCCCCACGTCACCACGGTTCCATCTGCCAAAATGGCAGCAAAGGCACTGCATGTGCCACAAATCTGCTGAACATTCCTTAGGTGATCTTGGGCTCTGGAGCTCTCTCCGCCATGGTCTGGATCGCCCCAGGTCACCACGCTCCCATCTGCCAAAATGGCAGCAAAAGCTTTGTCTGAGGCACAAATCTTGAAAACATTCCTCAGTTGATCTTGAACTCTGGAGCTGTCACCACCAAAGGCAGCATAGCCCCATGTCACCACGCTTCCATTTGCCAAAATGGCAGCAAAAGCATAGAATGTGCCACAAATCTGCTGAACATTCCTCAGCTGATCTTGGACGTCGGAGATGTAACCACCTAAGAGTTGGTGACCCCATGCAACAACTCCACCAGACCACAAGGCAAAAGCGTGCTTTGTTGCAGCTATCTTTGGCTGCTGCGCAACAGCAGCAATGCTGTCGCCGTCGTGCAGCCCAGCCAGTCGAAGAGACTCGGTTGGTTCAAAAAGACGTCCGTCAGGGGCTGCCAGCCTCAGGAAACGTTGCCCAAAAGACTCTTGTGCAGCGATCTTCACGTCAGCGATGCTGCCATACTGCAAGACCGTTATGGTTTTACAGCGTCCACTTGGCAAGGCCACTTGAAGGCTTATGGAATTGCCAGCCTGACCGCCAAAGATGGGCGTCTCCATAGCATCATGATTATCATGTGAGAAGAATGGGACCATGAAATGCCAAAACACCTTGCAAACCTTTTTGCTGATTCCTTGGTGCAGGATCCCATTGGTGATCATCACAACTTGGATTTCATTGATGCTTCATATAGATTCATAGATTCACAGATTCATAGATTCATAGATCAAGATGTCTGGGTTGAAATGCTTTGAGCCGTTAGCACACGTCTTGATGCAAGGCGATGCCCCCAGTTTTTTTTGCGACGCTTAAGAATGTGCCATTGTAAAACTACGTAGGTCAATATACTCAGCACAGGCCATAGATATGGCCCATAGTTATAAACCTACTTGTCTCTATCACAAATCAACTAGATAATTTCCATGTTTTCCTGGGTATATCATGAAAACAACTATTCTTGGTGCTTGAATCACTGGCGTTGAGTTTTGCTGCTGATTTCTCACCTGTTGCTTTCCCATCCCCATTTAAATCCCATGTTTCTATATATGTCTCTTGGTTTTCCATCATGTTAAATCACCATAGATCCCATTAAGATCCCATGTTTTAATCACCATAGATGTTTCATGGCAAAACCATCCCCATCCAAATCCCATGGAAATCGATGCGCTCCGACAGAACGGAGAACCAAGCGTCGTTCCAGGGTCTGATCCAAGGCATCCCACAACATTTCCACACGGGCCTGGTGCCGGCGACGCGACAGAAACGGTTTTTTCAATGAGAAAAACCCGCTGGAAAAATGGCTGTTGAATGATGTCTTATTGTTTCATAGTGGGATTTACGATTTAGCCATGATTGGGGCTGTCCTTTTTTGGGCCCTGGTTTCATCATCCTGAACTGGGATTAATATTAATAGTTCGATACATGATAGTAACAACGTCCCATACGTATTAGGGGACCCCAAAATAAACATATCTAATGTGATCCAATATCTAATATGATCTAATCATGGTTTGTTTGGGGGTATTTAAAATCACGGAGAAAGGTTGAACCAGTAGGGGGTGCATCAACCTTAGATACTTAGTGAGTGGTTGAACCTAGGATCTAGTAATCTAGGCCAGCGGTACACCATTTATTGGGCTTCAGAGTCGTCATAAACCATCATAAACCACGTTCGATTCCTGGGATCAGTCAGGCATCAGTCAGTCATCTCAGTCATTTCTCGACCATCAACTGATGTTACCCTCTGGTAAACTAACATAGCTATTGAAAAAGGCCATTTATAGTGGATTTACCCATTAAAATTAGTGATTTTCCATAGCTATGTAAACGTTTACCAGAGGGTATCCCATCCAAGGTATCATCCCCGAAAAAAAACCATCCGAGTTTGCCGACTGTAGTGCGAAGCCGCACACCTATCAGAAATCAGAGATTTTTCATCCCAGATTTGGTGAAATCCTGATGTTTTGTTGGTAAAATCACCATTGATTGGTGGATAAAAAAACTATTTATATAAGTTGTCAGTGGGCCACAACTCGGCAACGTTAAGCTGCGCCGTGAGTTAGTTCCAGGATGTTTCAGGGTTAAGAACTAGGTTGCATCATTAATAGTGGTTTATAGTGATTAATACTGGTTAATGAATGATTATTAATACTGGTTCATAATAATGATTCATATATATGATAACAATAATCCCATTTGTAATCGGCAAATGATAATGAGTTATAAACATGAAACAATATATATATATATATTTTTTTTATTCCTATGGTATTCGACAAGGATTTCATCCATTGTAGGCAGCGTAGCAGCCCACTTCGAAGTTTGCAGCCTGATCCATGGGGCGCTTCTGCTGCGTCTCCTGTGTCCGGCATCCTCCGGCTGTCCGGCTGCTCCACGTCGGCGAACGACAAACATCATCCATTCAGGTGGAGCTGGCAATTATAAAGCCATAAGGTATAGTCAATCAATGTCAGCCATAAATCCTATGGAAATCCCTCGTCTTTGCGGTTTAAATATGCTTAAATCACCATTTTCCAATGGTTTTCCCATAGTTTTCCCGTGGTTTTTAAGCCCAGCCCAGCCGGACTCCCCGGACTCCCTGGACTCCCTGAGGCGCCACGATGCCACTGGGCCTCTTCGAAGGCTTTCGGCTTCACCACCGCCACCGTGGAGCCTTCGGCGCGGAAGACCTGACGACGACGTTTTTAGATGGGACCACAGATTAGGGCAGTATTATATGTTCATTATGTTCATTGTATGTTCCTGAAAAATGGAATTTATATAAGCACTACTATATATGTTTAGTATTGACCATCTAAATCTGATTTGTAGTGTATATATTAACCAGGGGATACCAGTGAAAATGACTAAAATCTGTGGTCCCAAATATAATTAGATTGTTAAATGGTTAATATTATTAGGGACCAATATCTAATATAGAATTGCTCTAATTCTTAGGGTAGCCAATTTTGACCTGCGCATAGCTTATACCCATATCTAACCAGGAACAACGGGAAATTAGAATGACTTAAACGATCAGCAATGGGGACTTCACCACAAAACAAAGGATGGGTACTTGCTGTAACTTGACTTGGGTTGCTCCCTGGCCACCCCAAATATTTTTTGGGGAAATGGTTAGATCAAGATCAAGATGTACAATTGTCAATGTTCCTCCCTGGTCAATGGATCTTTTAACCCCAATCTATAGCAATTTTACCAACCAAAATCAGGTGCTTTAAACTTATATTCTCACCAAAAAGAAGAATCTGAACAAGTTGGTATGGCCAAGCAAGATATCTATATTAACAAAACCGATCAACACAGGCCATGTTTTGTGTACTTAATCATCAATGTCTGACAAGTTTTGATACTACTTGTCTGTCCATGGTTTGGCGTCATACCCATACAGTACGAATCAGAAAGTGTGGGCATGACAGGGATGCAGTGGAGATTACAACCATAAGTGGTGGATGTGTTCCCTATGATCTCTTGTTGAAGATAATGAGTACAACCTCAATGAGCAAAGTGCATGGACATTTATCGATTTGGGCTGAATATGATGTGTGCTCTTGGTGCTCTGGCCACCCTTTTGCAGAAAGGCCTTGGTGAGCAAGGTGTTGGGGGCCAAATTCGATCCTCCAATATGTTTTAAGAAATAATATCAAGATGTGATTTTTTTCTCGCGAGATTATTGCATGTAAAATTGCAGCCCTTACTGTAGCCCCTGAAATTCAACATCACCCCCAAAAAAATAGATCTAGAAGGTGATTAGATGATTAGAGGGTTTCAACCATACCAGCTCTGGGGCGCACTAGGGTTTACATTCCCTTTAGATCATTTTTGTTGCTTAAGGCCACATCTACTATAAACTAATTAAAGCCATAGCGCTGCTGTAAATATATATATATATATTCTCTTGTTATTTAACATAGCCATGGAAAATGGCTCATTTATAGATGGTTTACCTATTAAAATGGTGATTTTCAATAGCTATGTTAAATAACCAGAGGGTATATATAAACCACCTTGGCTCGGTCAAACCTGATTTTTCCATGGTGTCTATATTTCTCTAGGTTACAAAAAACCATTCTTCGCTGCTGAAAATCATGGTCATTCACCATATGAATCCACTGTTCCATGGTTTTTGCCATGTTTTCCTACTTACCCTCCGGTAAACTAACATGGCCATTGAACACGGCCCATTTATAGTTGATTTACCTACGAAAAGTGGTGATGTTCCATCGATTTTTGTATGTTTACCATCGGGTAAACTCCCTCCAAAGTCCTCCAACATCCCAGGGAAACTGACATATCTATATGGAAAATCACCATCTTTCAAGGCTAAATCAATCATCCATATATATATATATGTATTATAATATATATATAGCTCCCTCCAAGTCCTCCAACATCGCCTCTGTCAACGTCCTTACCACCCGCAGAAAGCGCGCTTCGATGCTGGACGGCGTGGCCGCCGCCGTGCCCAGCACTGCAGACTCCAGGGATTTCTCGATGTCGGTGACCAGGGTGGAGAGCACCTGGGATTCGAATCACCAAACGTCAAAAAACCAAACGATATATGGACATATCCCCAGTGAATATCGAAAAGCAATGGCTTACTGGTTGATGGATTGTATCCACTGAACTAAATGGGTATTTCAGTAGTATGTATCCCATTATATCTCCCAAAATGTATATCCCGTGCTATATGGTTGTGATTGGGTGTGTCTGAATTTGGTAACCCCCAAAAGTGCAATTTCAATCGAGAAATGCTGATTTGGCATCAGTTTTGGGCATACCATGGCTACCATATTTTCAGACAAACCCATCTCTTTGATTTAAGGTAGGGTCTGTAATCCATATCATATCCCATTATATCCTCATAAATCCCAAGATTGCTGGCTATATATCCTCATCATATCCCTCAAATTGTGCAACTCCTATGGATTGTTGGTTGTAAATAACATTCCCATTACATCTTCCATATTTTCGTGGTTCTACTCCCATGTTCTCCCCATAGATGGTCAAATCCACCATCATGTTTACATTTGGATTTCTCCATGATTTCCCCATCATGATATCTTCCATAGTTTCTTGGTTGGTGCTTTTAACCATCTTGAAAAATATGAAAGTCAATGGGAAGGATGACATCCCATATATGAAGTGGAAAAACATGTTTGAAACCACCAACCAGACATTATATGAATCCCATTAATCACCATTAATCACCATTAATCACCATATCACCGTTTCTGTTTGATATTCCCATGATCTCCCCATTTCCCAATTTTCCACGGTTTATTTAACTGCGCCTCCGTGCCTTATCCGATCCCCGTGGCCCTCGTCCACGCCTTCATCAGTTCGCTGCGCACAAGGTCCAGATGTTCCCGTTCCGCCAGTGCCACCAAGATGTCGCCGGCCAGGTGAAAAGCATCACCTTCGCCTGAGATGCAAAGATTGGGTGATGGGGACGGTGTTTTCTGATTTGAATGGAAAAAACTGTGAATGATTTAAATCTATGTTTACATGTATGGAAATTAATAGGGATGTGTTAATTTGAATGGAATGAATGGAGGTAAATATGATTGTTAATGGTTTCTATTTTGATGGAATAAATGGACGTAATACATATGGTTATCTTAACATGTTACAGATATCAGATTTGATGATATTTGATGAGAAGATTGCTATGTAAAAATGGGAACATCGTGACATTCGATCGGGAAATCATGGGTTATGAAGGAAATATATGTATGTATATATATATCTATATATGTGGTTATATGTGTGTATATATATATATACACCTTTTGTCCAACTGATGCAAATTGATACAAAATGGTGACGAAAACTGGGGTTTCAACCCGGTAGAACTGGATATACATATATATATATACATATATATATATATACATATATATATATATATATGGGAAATTAATGATTCAAGGGTGGTGACATGGATAGAAATTGATGGGGAAATGGGGAAATTGGGAAATTGATTGGATGAATGGAGGCAATTTGTGGCTATAGCTTATGCGATTTCAGTGGCTATCCCTGACTTACAATCCAGCTTCACAATCGGATGCGCATCCAAGAACGATGGACATGATGGATGATAGTGACACCAGCTGAGGATGCAAGAAACTGATGATTTTGGATTGGGTATTCTTGGGGTCGGCCAATGGAAGATGGCGATTCTATGGGAAAATGATGGAAGATGTGGATCCATCTTCTATATGGGATGGACATGGAGGAAACCCCGGGGTGCCTGAAACAGGCATAGTTTTTGTGATTCATAACATGTCATGACCACGGTTAGTTCCAGTCGTTTATGGGATATCTTCAGTTACCATTGGCTTACATTCGGGTCAGTAAGTTGTATTTTCATCCAAGTAGCAAGTAGCTCGTTTAAATTGCACTATATACAGTATATACAGTATATCAGTATCTAGATTATAGATATACATATATAACCATATATAAGCATATATAACCCGTGGATAACTGAGGATATTCCACTCATTTAACTGGCTTTTACCACGGTTTGTACTCACTCCAAGAAGGGAGAGTCTCCGATACTCCCATCGGAAAAATTCGGAGAACTTGGTTCATCTCATTTTCTGAGTAGCTTACATTTCATTTATCCTCCAGTAAAATAACATGACGGCCCTGGCATGAGCCGGAGCTGGAAGATTAGGGAAACCACCAAAAATGGTTTATTTTTAGGGTCGAATTGTCAATTTACCAAATAATACAGGGAAATTCAAGTACTGAACTGATATTACTAAAAGGTCGCGCCGCCCTTGGGCAACTGGTGTTTTTTGGTGCCTTTTGTTCTTTGCGCCTTGTGCTCTTTTGTTCCTCGCCATTATCAGCGAACGTTGCAAGCTTTGGCCAATTGTTTGAGAGAGTGCAATGGAACATTCCCCGACAAGTCAATTTAAGTTGTCTAAACATAAGTATGTATATATATATATATATATGTGTGTGTCTCTGTGTGTGTGTGTGCGTAAGTGAGAAATATATTTCTGTGCGCAAATACAAACAAGAATATATGTACATTTGTATGTATATAATAGTGAAAATACATGTATATGTATGCACATGGTTATATACATATAAATGTATCTAAATGTGATGTTCACTGTGTAATATTGTGTATATATATATTTATAAGTATAACCCAGGCAACCCCAAAGTTCACGAAGCATGCATGACGTGAGCAAGTTCACAGGGACGTTAACATCCCCCCCACCCCACCCAAACCCCGAAGTTCACCAAGCATACATGACGTGAGCAAGTTCACAGGGACGTTAAATTCCCCTCCCCACCCCAAACCCTAAAAAAAACAAAAAGAGAGGTTTCGTGACCAGTTGCCTGGGGGCGGCGCTGGGTACAAAAATATTTATTTAAAACATCTTAAAGCTAATGAAGGTACTATGCAAGCACTGTACATGATTCTACACATGCGTGAGGATATACCATCTGGTTATTTAACATAGCCATGGAAAATCACCATTTTTAATAGGTAAACCATCTATAAATGGGCCATTTTCCATGGCTATATTAAATATTGGCCTTCTAAAACGCCACGGCCCAGGCATGCCCAGGCGCTATTGGACCCATGGCCGCTGCCAGCTTGACATAGGAAGTGGCACAGCGCCAAGACACTCTCCTTTGACAACGAGCCATGCATGTCCTGGCGGAAGTCCCGCAGAAAAACATGATGTGATTCGAATCCATCTGAACATGTCATATCTGATGATGGAAATGAGTTATATCCCATAATATTAGATAAATTTATATAGATAATGGGTATGATAAATATGGTGTTTTCTTGAAATTTCGTGGAACATCTTGGAAACTGGTTTGGAACGACCTTAGAACATAGTTCAGAGTTCAGAAGATGATTCCATCCAAAAAAACGGATCTCTTGAGAAACAGGCGCCCGCAAGTGCAAACGCAGGACATCCGTCCACTATGGAATTATATCAAGGCCCAGCCAGCTTTGCGAGTCTTTGCTGGGACTTTCATTGGACCCCCGTCTAGGGCTAACCGAGGTCCAATAATATTAATAACACACTGTGCTGTCGATTTGCAGCTCCGTTTCAAGAATTTCCAAGATACTTTATCATCATTTGGGGGTATCCCCCAAACCAGTCAACCAATCCAATCAAGATTCTTCACATGATATCAGGCCCAGGCTAGCTAATCATATGGCCCCCGACTACCGTTTGAAAGCGACTGACCTCACAATCACCCAGCAGTCCTGGATGATCTTTGCCCACCTTTGTGCGTTGGGAGACTCCACCGGTGGTGTCACCAGCTCCCCCTGCGTCGCTGAAGCCGACTCGGCCACTGGCGCGGCCGGCGCCGGGGCCGGCGCCGGGGCGGTCGGCGCGGCGCCGGGCGGTTGGCGCCGGGGCGGTTGGCGCCGGTGCGGTTGGCGCCGGTGCGGCCGGCGCCGGCGTGTCGCCTTTGGCATCACCTTGGACAGATTTGCAGATACCAACCAGCTATCAACCACTTGTCCAGCTGGTTGGTTGATTCAACCTAACCCAAATATTCCTTCACATATCGTACCGCCCATTTATCATGTCCTATTTTGGTTCTTTTGTTTGGTTTCAATCCCCGAGATGGATGCACTAAACGATCCATCTACTTAGATGGGCTGTGGGGTTACTAACTGGTTAAGTGAGTTAGGTTGAAAATTAACATGAATACTAACTAGTTAGAATGGAAATTAAATACAATTAGTTAAGTAGTTAGTAACTGGTTAGCTAACTAGTTACTAAGTATTTAGTTGTGCTTTTGTTCATGAATATTTTCATATAAACTTTAAATATACATACAAAGTATAATGCCAAAGAATCATTGTGCTTTTTATGTTTGAGCCAGCAAGGGCTACAAGCTTCTTGAAGGTTGAGCCCAGAATGGCTAATTTCTTTTCACATGTGACCACCAAAAAAAAGCCAAGGCTTCTGATGTGGAACATGAAACATGTCCCACATTGTCCACAGAATATATGAGCTGTTGCTGTTGATCAGCTTTGATTATGTGGATGAAACCAAGCATTCAGCCCAAAAAGGCTCCAAATAAATAAGTATAGAAATATCATTTCTGTCAGCACAAGAATCGCTGCCACATATTTCTTTCCTTTTCATCTAAAGCTCCATGGGGTCAAAGTTGTGATCTTTTGCTTGTCTTTGGCAAAAGTCACTGCAACCAGCAATTCTTGCAAGGGAACAACCACATGGCTCCTTTTGTCCTCCCATTCAGCAAAAGTTTCAGACAACTTCTTCAAATGCAGCACATTCATCACAGCCACATCATCTCCATGATTGTTGGTGAGAAAGTAAAGAATTTGTCCACAGTCAAACTTGTTGCCAGCATGGCTTGTCAAGTATACCAAATCACCATGGGAACACAGGCCATGCTTGATTCTGGCATGGTTGCTGCTGCTGACATTTTCCCAGGTGTGCCAAATCTCTGCAGCCAAAGGAACCAACTTCCTTGCCAAAGATTTTGCTTGCAACAAACCTGGTTCAATTGCAAATACATCAGGATCTGAAAGCCTTTCCATCTCAAGGGTTAAAACTTCAGAGTGCACAGGCCATTCGAAATTGCTCAAGTTCTGAATCAATGTTGCAATTCTTCCTGGCATCTTGTTCTTTCTCTCCATACAAAAGGTATTGGGAATACATTGGTGCTTGGACAGCATTTGGTGAAAGTGCAGAAGCCAATGGTGCTTCTTGATGAGCTTCCAATCCAAGTCAACACACTGCTTCAAGCTGCTTTCTGCTGCCTCCAAAAGTTGCAAGGGAACCACTGTACCATGCCAAGTGGCTTGAAGCAAGTCCATGAGGCACAGGATTGACAAAAAGGCCTCCACTTCTTCTTTGCATGCATTGGCTGGGAGACACACCACTCTCATATAGTGTGCAACAATGCTGCATAAAGTCAAAAGTTCACTGGCAGTGGCAATGATTTTCTTGTGCTTCCTGTCCTTGGCCAATCTTTTGCTCTGAAACAAGGGTCCCAATTTAATGTTGCTCAAAGATTTTGGCAAGTGAAAGTGCTGCACATAAGAAGAAAGTAGATCCCATTGGTCCAGCTTGTCCAGCACATTGAAAAGAACCATGTTCATCACACCATTTGATAATAGACAATGCATCCAATCCCAACAGTTTTGCTTGGTGGGCCTCAAGATGGGCCTGAGTGTTGGATTGGCCAGCAATGCATGAGGTGAGAAGCTAATCCCAGAAGCTTGCTCCCACTGCTGGAATTCTTTTTTGGAAACATTACCATATCTTTCTTTCATCCTGTCCCAGCTCTTGAAAATTTCCTCGTCAGAATCCAAATGCAGCTGTTCAAATTTGCAATGCTTTGCAATCTCTGACATGAAGCCATCTTCCCCATCATTGTCATTGTCATCAGCAAGCTGGAAAATATTAGCACACTGCTGGCAAAAGCGGCTACCACTGTCTCCTTTGGTGCTCCAAGAAAATTTGGCAGCTTGACCATCCATAATAAGAAAGCCAAGCTGCAAGAGGAGTCTTTTGCCAATTGCTGCATGCCCTGGTGGCTCTTGCAGTTGCAGTCCCAAATCTTGCACATTCCCATAGCTGCTGTAAAATATCGACTCCAGTCTATCAAGATATCCAATTGAACCTTGAGGTCTCTCACCAGAAGGTTGAGTTCTTCCATCTTGGTGTATATGTCATGTACTTGTCCTCCTTGTGCCAAGCAGCTGGACCATATATTGGTCAGGCTGCAACTCATTGGGCCCATCAGTGCTTTCAAGTCCTTGAGCACCTTGAGGATCCCCATCAGGAGGAGGCAAATGATGCAAATGCCCAGTTCCACAAGCATGGTCATCTAGTCAAAGTCCAGGTCACAATGTGGAGCCTTGAGTGCTGTGGAGCCAAAGTCCTGGAGGTTCTTGCTGACAGCATGCACTGGACAAGCTCATGTTGGAGCCATTTCAAGGCTTACCCACACAGAGCCTCCCATGTATTTGATAGTTTTACATGTGTGAACCTTATAGTTAATTGTCTTTAACAATGTTATTCACAATAATCTGAAAGCACACTGACACATTCCATGGTTGAGCCTTCAGGCTAATCTGCAAGCTGCATGAGCTCACATGGGTTAAGCTTCCAGGGCTGATGTAGGAGCATCACCAGCTGGGAAGGGTTGAGCCAGTAGGGCTAGTGTGTAGCAGCACAACTGAATTTTGAGCCTCCAGGGCTAATGTGGTAGGGCTATCTACTGAAAGGAGTTGAGCCACCAGGGCTAATTTAAACAAGTGCAAATCCTTACCCAAGAGCTAGACAAATGAAAATAAAACAGAAAAACGTAAGTTTAGATTTATCTAAAAGGTTTTCATTTCAATTCAGCATGCTGAATTGAAATGAAAACCCTTTGAAAAAAAAATGTAAATGGATTGTTTTTTCCTCTAGAAACTTAAGCCTCGCTGGGCTAATTTAGAACACAAATGATTTTTTTCAGCAAACACCATTGAGCCTCTTTAGGGCTAATGTGTCTTCTCTAAGCTTGGTTGCAGCTGCTGGAGCTCCTTTTCTTTTGGTCCCAAGCCATTTCCACAGTTAAGCTAATATCCAGCCCTTAGCAGGCTTTAACTCAGCCATTGACAGGCTTCCATCTGCATATTGTGCATACCCACTGGTGTAAAACACAACAAAATTTGTTTTGAACAACTTGGTGACATGTAAATTTCTGAACATATCAGCAATCACCAGGGATATCCACATTTCTTAGGGCCTGCATCGCCCCATTTTTGGATCGCAGATTCTAAACATAAAACCTGAAACCCAGTGCTGTGGTGGCCTGTGAAAAGTGTACAGATGCGATCCAATTCTTTCCATCTGCCCTTGTTGTACAGGGCAAGCATCAAAACACATCTATTTTGCTAACCTGATTTCCATTTCTTAACAGATTCAGGGTGCAAGTGCTCCTTCAGCAACTGGGACTCCTCTGGAGTGAGTGGCACTAGCTCACTATGCCACCACTTGAAACCAGGGGGTGGGTACTGCGTCACTGGGTCATAGTCTGCAAACAAACCATCAGAACTGGAAGCAGGAGCTTCTCCATCATTGGAATCATCCACCATAGTTTCCTTGCAGTCAGTGGCCCACTCCTGCAGGGACTTACATGAAAACAACAACAACAACAACAACAGCAACAACAACCACCTAAACTTTCAAAGAAAGATATGTCTTTCTTTCCCACTATATCCCCTGTGGCTGGGTAGCTGGTGGCATCACCAGTGGTCTTGGAGTCATCCTGGTTCGAATGGGCACCATGTTGAGCCTTGAGGCTGGTGGCATCACCAGTGGTCTGGGAGTTATCTTGGTCAGCTTCACATTGACCCCATGCTCTGACTCCAGCAAGGCCTGCATGTCCTTTTGGACTTGGTGTTCCATGGCTTCAGGTCTATGTAGCAAAGTCAGTAAACACACATTTATTGACACCTGGACACTATGTGGTTCTTCATCTGTCTTGCAGCTCATGCTTTTGCCCTAACATCCGAGTCTTCCTGTTGTTATTTGCACCCCTCTGCAAGGCCACTAGCAGCCTCATTGCTGCAAAGAAAGATTGAATTTACAACCATGGCTGCCACTTGCCCCCAAAAGAAGTGACAAACATGTTTGGGCCTTTGGGGCCAATGAAGACCACATTGGTTCCTAATATATTTGAGCCTGAAGGCTAATGTGTTGCAACAAGACTGTATAGCCTGATGGCTAATGTGCTTCATATGACAAGGCAACAGCATCATGAGCCATTTTAGCCAATGTCCCAAACAAAGTCTTTGGGCTATTGGGGACACATATCACAAACAACAAAAAGTTTGAGCCATGAAGGCTAATGCGTAGCAATGCCATGCTATTGGGTTTGAGCCACATGGGCTAGTGACTTTCAATCACAACAACATGTTTGAACCATGAAGGCTAATGTGCTGGCAGGACATCACTGGGCCGCACACACAAGCACACTTTTTCCACCACTTTCTCAGCTCTGAATCCTTCAGTCCTCCTTCTTGTCCTCCTTGGCAGCTCTCTTTTTGTATGTCCTGGAGGTTGTCTCTTCCAAGCAGTCTGGCAAAAGGAATCTGAATACAGCACAGAGCATCTTGGCCTCCAACTTCACCATCACATCTGCCATCTGTGGCCTTTTGCTCGGGCAGAGCATGGAGACCATGGTACCATGGACACCTCCACCACACATTCCACCCCTCTCCTCCTTTTTGCAGGAGCTTCATCAGTATCTTCCACAGGAGGATCCTTCAGCTTCTCATTTCTCATATTCTTCAACTCTTGCATCTTTGTGCACCAGCCAGAGAAGCATTTCTGTCAGCTTTGCCACAAATCAACTGGTTGATGGTGAAGTTGGTGGCAGACAACTTCAAATACTTTTCACCAGTCTCATCCTGCCAAATCAAAAAATCCCAGCAAGTAAGATTCAAACCATGCTTTTCAAAAAGGCAATGCTCATTTGGACAACAACCCTGTCCTCAACCACCAGCTTCTCCGGAATCTGACACTCCTTTCCTTGGTCAAAAGAAATGCTATAGAGCTGTTTGATTTCCACCTGGTGATCTTCCTCCATCATGAGGTCTCAAGAGCCGAAAAAGCTGTGCATGGAATGCACAATGCGACAGCTTTTCCAAACACACTCCACTTCAGGAACAAATCAATTTCATTGTCACCTGGAATGCAAAAACTATCAGCTCACAAAGCTAATTCGCCAGAGTGTTCAAAAAAAGCCCAAAAGGCTAATGTGTGAAAACAAGAAATCACCAGCCGACATGGCTGATTTGTGAATTTGCACAAACATGAGCCCAAAAGGCTAATTTGCAAGCTATAAAATACAAGAAAATAGGTTTTATTTTCAACATTTGTTTAATCTAACTAACTCAGCTAACTAATTAGCTGGTTTAAGTCTAAGTGCTTAGCTAACTTCACTAAGTAGTTAATGTTCTCTTAAGATCTTTAAGATGGTTAGCTAACAATTATAAAAAATAGTACCTATCTTAAAACCATTAGGTAAGTTACAAGGATTAGTCATCAGTTAGGAGGTACTTAGCATATAGTTAAGATCTAGTTAGTAAAGCAATAATAACTTACTTAACTGTAGCAAGTAGTTACTAAAACCACAGCCCATCTAAGTAAATCCTCATATGCCAGCGTTTCTGCTGGTTAAATCCCAATTTCTGCTGGGAAAACGCAGGTTGTTATCATATTCAAGACAGTTCTTAGCCGTTAAATCACAATCTTTAAATAAGTTCCGAATCTTTACTTGCAAAATCAATCTTCTCTGCAATTTAAAAAACACAATTTACTACTGAATTCTTGCTGAAATCAGTTTCGGGATGTCTTCCTTTCCCACCAGGTACCAGGTGGTGCCCCCCAGTTATCAGTCAGTTTATAATTAAACCATAGTAGCTATATAAGTTTGATATATCTACCATAAATATACATAAACCCTACTGTACTTGTTGGAGTTATAAACTAACTTGGCCAACGCTATGGGGCACCACCTTTCCCTCAGAGGCGCCCCTAGAGGCGCCGTTCTCCGAGCGGCCGTCGGGCTGCGGCACCAGCAGCGCGTGAAGCACCGACAGCAGCCAGGCGGCGTGACGGGAGGAGGAGAGGTAGAGCCGGGTGTTGACCAACTGCATCAGCAAATTCACCTGCAAGGTGGTGGTGTTTTTTAAACCCCAAGTGATTTTCGTTGGTAAAGCCAAGAGCTTACCAAGCCAGTCAAGTGGTGGATGGTGTTTTTACCCCCATTGACCTGAAAGGTGGGACGATTTTACCAGCAGATGGGCCCTGCAGCCAAGTATTTTACTATGGGCCCATTGGCTAAATCAGTTGTTCCCCCCCAGTTAAAAGTTGGTTGAGAAAAAACCAAAAGTTTTTAGAAAGTTACATAAGTCAAGGGCTTTGTAGTTGGTGGTTCATCCCACCAATTATAAGCAGGGTTAGTCCAGCTAATTCGAAGTTTATCCAGTTGTAAGCAATGCAGTGCCCCCTACCTAGATAGCTAAGTTGGTTTATAGCTAACATAACTAGGGTTTATGGCAATGATAATTATATCATTAATGGGGTTCAGAAACCAACTTATAACTTGGAGGGCACTACCCGCTAGGTCCGCTAGGTAATCAGACATGGACCCCATTGCCATGTTAAATCACCTGAGGGTAATGATCATGGGGAGTCAACCAATCAAATGACGTTTTCAGGTTGTTTGCCTGGGCAGTTCACCCGGAGTCCAGTAGAACTGAAGGATTTCATCACGAAAGCAGGGGGCTTAACAACTTTCTATACCGTTTACCTGTGCATTTTACAAATATGGTGCATATTTAACCAAGAACACTTGGTATGCGAGGAAGCAACATTAAGAATATTTCGCGCAGGGGGGCTCAGATATGGAGGCTCAATGGGAGTTGAACCAACCAAAATGAGAATATAACCTTCAAACACGCGGTTCACATTGAGATCTAACCCATTAACAATGGGATATGCACCAGTAAATTTTGTTCTTCAGAACGTCAACCAATTGGAATGGGATGCGGCTTTGGTTGACATATTACGTAATATCTCAAGAGAATCTACACGTAGGAGTCCGGGAGGCTCGCAAGTGGTGCACAAATCCATCGGGCAATGGTTGGAAGCTTCGATTTGCCAAAGACGTTTAGCATGGCTGGGGTCATCTTTTCCATGTCCCTCCCAGGGGGATTATTCGCTTCTCGCGTTCCAACGTTGATCAACTCCACACAGTAGAAAACTTCTAAGACCACATGCTGTGTGATCCAAAACATCTCGCAGTCCTGTCAGCACGTCCAACTTCCTGGTACTTGTCAGCTCCAACATCACGGAAAAACCTCCTCCAATTCTTCGAATCAATGGGCGAGAGTTTCAGTCACCACAGATGGGGCCCGTCAGATGCAGCATGTTTCATCCCAATGACTGGGATACTCCTGGGCACAACTTCGGTGTGTCAGAATGACGTGGGCAAAGATGATGGCGAACCAGTTTGTACCCAATTTTCGAAGAAGGCCATTTCTTTGATTTGTTTCTTCAATCCAAACAGCATCAATAGATGGTTCCCCATGATGCTGTCAACAAGTCACCAATATATTATGGTTCCGTAGTGTAGATACGTTTGATGATGAGTCGGGTCTGGATGAATCACAAAATGACCGACAACCAGAGTAGAACATCAAATATCATTAAATCAAACTAAGCATTTATTAGCACCAAAATATATTCGGCTGGTTCACAGCGATGATTACTGGTTGGTTGATCAAGGTTCAAAAAATACATTACTTCGTGTGATCCCCACCATGACATTTATACATTTTGTTACTGGCAAATCTTCTGGCATTATATCAGACACATCTTCTGGCATTCTATCTAGCAATCTTCTGGCATATCTTCTGGCATATCTTCTGGCATTCTACCTGGCATATCTTCTGGCATTCTATCTGACATTTTATCTGGCATTCTCTCTGGCATACCTTCTGCCATTCTATCTGGCATATCTTCTAACATTCTATCTGGCATAGCTTCTGGCATTCTATCTGGCATATCTTCTGGCATTCTATCTGGCATATCTTCTGACATTCTATCTGGCATATCTATCTGGCATTCCGTCATTCATATCTTCTGACATTCTATCTGGCATCTTCTGACATGCTATCTAGCAGCATATCTTCTGGCATTCTGTCTGTCATATCTTCTAACACTCTATCTGGCATATCTTCTGGCATTCGATCTGGCATTCTATCTGGCATACCTTCTGACATTCTATCTGGCATATCTTCTGGCATTCTATCTGGCCGTTGAGGTCCAGCAGTGCACACTGAGCTGGGAAGGTCCCAGGTTGAGGTCCAGCGGTGCACACTGAGCTCGGAAGGTCCCCGGTTGAGGTCCAGCCGTGCACACTGAGCTCGGAAGGTCCCAGGTTGAGGTCCAGCAGTGCACACTGAGCTCGGAAGGTCCCAGGTTGAGGTCCAGCGGTGCACACTGAGCTGGGCAGTTGGCACAGAGCGTGGCCAAGAGTTGGCAAGGCGGAAGTTGAGGTGGAAGTTGATGTAGACATGGTCGAGGAGAAACAGGCGGAGGAGAAGGAGGAGGACGAGGAGGATAGCTAGCCGAGGAGGAGGAGGAGGAGAAGAACAACTCTGATAAAATCTGACAACCCTCACCTGGCAGGTGGGGAAATACTCCCTGCCCAACAGCTCAGAGAAGTTCAGATCACCCTGGTACCCTGGTGTTCACAGCAAAATAGTTGCTGTAAAAGCTGCTAAAATGGATGGATGGCCGTCAGCCTTTTAACATCTTTTAAGCCATACTAGATCATAATCACATATAGTTACAAGTATAATTAGTAAATATGTCCCATCATTTCCCCATGAAAAAATAGCTGTAACTATACCCATATCCGGCAGGATGGAATCTGTTGGGCCCTCGGACCGAACACATCCCAGGCAAATTGGCCATGGGGAGGTCGTTGATCAGAAGCTGTGCTGGTTGCAAACGCGACTTCCTCAAGCGTCTTAGGCTTGGGAAAAAATGGGGCAAAACACAGCAGTAACATCTCTGGAACATGGCTAATTTGTATGGGGAATTCATGCAGATTCCATGATGTAGTGGTTGTGTAATATATTTTGTTAGTCAGAGGGAAGATGAGGTTTTGAAACAAACATGTTCGTGATTTGATGGGGTTATATAAAAAAATGGGGATAGAATTGGATATGATGGGATATGTGTGAATATACGTGGGATATATAACACTATATACAACAATGATGATGTATCGGGAAAAATCAGGGATAATTTGCCCCCCTTTCTGGCAATGTGAACAATTTGCAGATTTTTTCTGATCAACCACTGGACGGAATGGCCCATGGGCCCATCTTCAAAGAAATCCATGGACGGATGGGTTGCGACACTTTACTTTGAGCCTATCGCAAAGTACTAGAATTACTAAAGAATTCCATGGAAATTCATGATGAACTCGCAACTCAATCAACTCAGAACCACTTAAGACTTTTGCTGATGATTCCCCTTCAAACATCGCTATGGAAGATGGCCTATTGAGTTCGATAATTTATTCTACCTATTTAAAATGATGTTCCCTGGCTATACATCATACATATACATCATACATATACATCATACATATATATATATATATGTATTATGATGTGTTTGTCCCTAGCACTTCCCTAGCTACGTCAAACGTCAACAACGAGGCTTTACCCGGCCTTTTAGGTCGCTGAAATTTTCCCGGTCAACCGCCCGCTTTCGATCCCATGATCCTGGTGCTGCTATATATGGTGTGACATGGATGCCATGAATATACCCCAGTCATGTTAGCATATATACCAGCACCATGGATCCTATGGGTATATATATATACATATATTTACCCAGATCACCATGAAATCCCATAGATTAGATTAGAATAGATTGGATTGTATTGGGTTAGACTAGATCATATTATATAGATTAATTAAATTAGATAGATAGATAGATAGATAGACAGATTAAACAAAACAACCACCTTTGCTGATATTGAATCCCCATTTGCAGGGGTTTGCCTAAATTAAAGTACCCCAAACAAATCCCCTTGTTCGTCATCAATGAATGGCAATTGTATTTTCTTAATGTTTTTTTGGAGTATCCGCATTTTTAGAGAAACCCATGTAAATTAATTTAATTCGTAAGATTTCATTTTTTTCAGGGTTAACTGGTTAACTCAATCAACTTTGGCTGATATACCCTCTGGTAAATTAACATAACTATGGAAAATCACCATTTTTTATAAGGGAAAATCCACTATTAATGGCCATTTTCAATAGCAAACTTTTGACATAACCAGAGGGTACCCAATTTTCAGCCAGGTCCAAGCATCTTCTTTCGATCTGCAGACACTTTGCTCCTCTGACTCCAAGTCCCAAAGTCACCTTGCAGTTGGTGCGCGAAGAACTCCCCGCACTGCGGCACCCGGCGCAGCAAATACGCCAACATCGCCAGGATCCTTCGAAAAGAGACCGGTTGGGTGGTGGTACTGTAGGTTGGGGAATTTTGGGGAACAGAACATCATATGAATAAAACAATAAGAAACAATTCCCCAAAATCACACGTTTTATAGATTATATATAAACCATTCCCAGTCGGTGGGAAATACATGGCATTCTTTTACCCACAGTCGCCTCGCTAAGATATGGAGGATCCTCCCACTTCTGAAGTTGTTTTAGTTTTTATTTTACGTACAAAAACCAGAAAGCAATAAACCAATTTATATACAGGATATATGGCCATGGTTTTGTTTACCAGCTAATATTGATATAATCTAATATATAGTCATAGATATAATTTATATAAAAACGATATCCGTTTTAATAGGTATACAGGATAATCCAGGGATTTACATGGGATTTACAAGCCAGGGTTAGTTATGAAAACCACTATGTGGGATGATCCTCTGGGTAAATGCACATGATTTACGTTTTCGATGGACCATCATTTCCCACCCGAAGCGGGTGGCTACATACAACCTATCAACATCTATCCACTCGGCTTTGCTTGGTGAAGTGGGTTAGATTTTTCCTTTCGGGGAGCTGTCCTTTTGCCTTGAACAGGAAAAACAAAAACAACAGGGTAGGCCCGAAGGATGAGATGAACAACAGCCAGTGACTTGTTGTGAGAGGTCAGCAGTGGTTGAAGAACAACATTGAACTTCCAAGTGTGAACCAAGGGTGATCAACCATCGATGTGACATGACAGTCGTTCAACAGTCAACCGATCCTCTCTGATGGCAAGCATGCTGCATCAAGTGGAGAACTGTCCGAACCGGTCCACCCGTGACGACACGGATCCCACTTTGCCGTTGAGCTCAAGGTCATCCCTATTGGTACAGAACTGAAGTTCCTGAGAAGACGCATCGCAGACTCCATGCTGGCAGGTGTGATCTCACCCAAACGCCCAATCAACCAGGAAGGGGACTGTCATGTCATCTGTGCAAGCAGAAGACAAGTGTTCAAAGTACAAGGTTGAGAATGCACGATCTCCGACTGACTTGGCACCTTCGTCTGTGGTACTGGGCCTGGCATCTGGCTTGCGAACACTGCCGATGACCACTCCACCCTTCTTGCAGGGCAATAAGGCGACCTTCTGGCAATTTGACATACCCTGTAGTAAACGTTTACATAACTATGGAAAATCACCATTTTTAATAGGCAAATCACCTATGTCTATGGCCACGTTCAAGTTCGCAAACTGTTAGTTTATCAGAGGGTAGCTATGGACAATTAGCATGAAAGTTAAACAAAAATCATGGCAAAACACCATCGAACTTAATGGACCATGGCTTCCATGTTACGATGTAACAAACCTGGAGGCTTACAGCGCTGTGCTGCTGCCGTGCCCGGATCCCTACAGTTAGGATCCTAACATATCCAATTGTACGGTGGGCGTATCATGATGTGGTTACGCCCATACTATAATTATAAGTCCGATTCAGTGTATTCATAGAATTATCCATATTATGTATATATATATGTGCATGCATATATATATATATACACACACATATATATATAATATGCATTAGTGAGATTGTAGTGGGATATGTATATATTATTATCAAATTTGAGTGGCATTATAATTAGTGTGCATGATATATCAACTGAGATCACATATTGAATACTGGTTGGTGGTTGAGCCACCCCTCTGAAAAATATGAGTTCGTCAGTTGGGATGATGAAATTCCCAACTGAATGGAAAGTCATAACATTCATGTTCCAAACCACCACCCAGCCATGGTTGTTTCAATAAAAAAAATGCATGATCATCCATGACTTGGATCATGCCAGGGGTAACCCAGCACCTCTGCGATCCAACGGATTGAACTTCCAGAGGGCTGCGGCAAGCCTCCCGTGGGCGACCATGGCCAAGTCTGGTCACACTGAAAGGGCTTGGAGACTTGGGTCTCTGGGCGGGTCGATAAACATGTATCTATATATATACATATGGCTTTGTATATATAGTTGTGTATGTATATATATATATATACAAAGCTGGGCTCTCTAGATAGCTAAGTTGGTTTATAACTCCAATAACTATATGGTTGATGTCACGTATAATTAAGGCTAACAGTTAAGGGTGGTTATGAACCAACTTGTAACTGGTGGGCCCGCATTGTAGGGTACCCCATATCCTGTAGAGAGGGGTGCGTTTTGCTTTTTTCTCGTAAATGTGAATGCGATGCCCCGACGCAAATTTAGTGAAAATAGCGATAAAAACATAGGATGGAAGGGTGTTCCCAATTTTGAGACAAACCAATTCCGGTTGGTGGTTGAGCCACCCCTCTGAAAAATATATAAGTCGGTTGGGCTGATGAAATTCCCAACATAAAATTCATGTTCCAAACCTCCAACGAGAATTTGATGACCCCACTTGCAACCTATCACAATCCGGCAGTTAAAACCTGTAGGTTGACCCTTGGTCATGTGGCTACACAGCTTCATGGCCAACCATAGATATCCCTTCAGTATATTTCTGGGCTACTGCTGATTCAGTCCTAGTCTTTGCTGAACTTCCAGGTTTCTCCTGGGTGGTGAAACTCCAACGGGGTGCTTGAATCCCCATCGACTGTTCCCATGTCAGCTCGTCCCCAGGTTGGAGAACTAGTTATAGTTAACCAGTTAATCCCATACCCATAGGATCCATGGTGCTGGTATATATGCTAACATGACTGGGGTATATTGATGGGATCCATGTTACCATATATAGCAGCACCATGGCTCCTATGGGTTATAGTTAAGCACACCAGATCCCCAGTGCATCTCCACGTAAGTTACCCTGTTACACTGCCTCCCTCAGCTCAACGCGAAAATCATCGCTTCCCCGCGCCGCCTCCAGTGACCCATCCTCCGTTCCAATGGCTTCAAACAAACAGGGCGGAGGCAGGGCATCCAACGGAGCGTCTGCTTCCGTCTGCTTACCTCCGTCCGTTCGAAGGCCCGGCCCCGTTGGTCCGCTGGGGAATTCACGGTGGGGGGCAACGTGAAGGTGAGGAGGTGCAAAAAAGGTTGGTGATGGTGATGGTTGGTGGCATTCCATTCCAAATTTGTTTTGTGATGTAGATACATAGATAGCCAGACGGAGGAACACGCAAATAGATACAGTACACTAATCACACTAATCATGTAGACATGTTTTGTTGAAGTTGCTTCGACCCTTTTTGTGATAAAATCACCGGTGCTACTACACTTATGGCCCTTAACAGTTATAATTGGGATCATAACTCCTGCAACTAAGGCGAAATATCACTTGAATGGGGTCATGTTCGCCAGCGGGCCATCAGTTGTAACGGAATCCACACGTTCTGCCCGGTCACACAGCAGGATGAGGAAATGCCCCAGCAGCGCAGAACGCGTGGTGGGATGCAGGGACAGATTGAAGCACAGCCGGGTGATGGGAATTGTCGAGACCTCCTGAGACGAAGTGATCACATGGGAGGAGGGAACATGGATAGAAACATATATATATATGTGTGTATGTATCATATATAGTCATTGAGTATGTATGTGTATATATATATGTGTATGTATCATATATAGTCATTGAGTATGTATGTGTATATATATATATATGTGTGTATGTATCACATATAGTCATTGAGTATGTATGTATATATATATGTGCGTATGTATCATATATAGTCATTGAGTATGTATGTATATATATGTGTGTGTATGTATCATATATAGTCATAGAGTATGTATGTATATATATATGTGTATGTATCATATATAGTCATTGAGTATGTATGTATATATATATATATATGTGTATTATGATCATTATGTATATAGATTATGTATTCGATAATATGTATTCGATAATATGTATTCGATAATATGTATTCGATAATATGTATTCGATAATATGTATTCTATATACTTCAGTCTCTATGATGCATACCTGTAAAATCCGATATACCTATGTATGTATATATATATATATTTATACACATTTGATTAAACAAGCAAAAACATGTGCACATGTAGAGCCGTGGCAGCTATAGTCACCAGCAAATGGGCACTTTAAGCCACACATGGGAAAATAGGCTGCACCTCCGACATCGAAGCCAAAGAAAGGTCGCGTCCCAAGGAAGGCTGAGAAAACCATCTTTCCAAAGCTCCTTGAGTAATCAAACGTGGCAATGGAAAATCTCCTATACACGGAGAAAGTAATCTATAAATCATGAATTCTCCATTGCCACGCCTTTATGATCACCGGGTAATTAATTTTATGTGAGCAATGCTTAGCCACACACAACGGAATTTGCCATTGAATCCTGGTTGCTTCAGAATGGGATGTCCAAATCATGGACTATAATCATCCCCATCAACGAACCATCAATGAACCATCAATGAGTCAATGAGAATATCAATGGCAAAATGAACCATATTTTCCGCTGCTGATCAATGAGCCATCAGTGCCATCAATGGGAAATCCCCAATGAAAATATGGACCATCAATGAGAATCAACTCGATCAACGGATAACCGATGAAGCATCAATGAGAATATCCCCATTGATGGGAAATCCCCATTGATACATTTGATACCCAAGGAGCCATCAGTGCCATCATTATCCCCATTCGCGATTCCAAGGAGATCATCACAGGATGGGGCCCCCAGTCGAGCGAGCGATAGCGTTCAGTTGCTGAATGAACTATGGTTTATGGTAGATATAACGAACTAGTTAACTATGGTTAAGTGGCTGAATTCTATGGTTTATGGTAGATATAACTATAGTTAATGGGGATTATAATGGTTTACAAACCAACTTATAACTGGCGGGCCCCATCCTGTAGTCCATTACCCCTTATGGGCGAAGGCCGCCGTACCAATCGTACCGAAGGCGCCGTTGGTAGGCTGGTGCTGATGTTCACCCCAGACGCGTCTGATAACAGGTACATATACAGTATACAAAATTTGATAAATATATGGGGTACATCATTGAACAGTATACACACCATATAATGATTATATACTTATACATATGTATTATAATGATACATAAATTCCAATCTGTGCTAATCTGTACATGGGTTGTATTCACCACTTCCGATAGCCATCGGATACATATCCACCCCGCACTGCAGTGAAGGCTCGGTGCGCAAGTACAACAAGCCTCAGCAAGGCACAAGGCTCGTTGGTGTCGCATAGGCGAAACTTATCCCATCCCATGGGATAAGAAATGGGAGATAATGGGATACCATTGGTTGGTCATATACTATTAATATATGGTTAATAATGGTTATGATGATGGTTTTCATGATGGTTGAGAATAATCTGGTTGGTGGTGCAATGTGCCCATCTTGAAAAATGATGGAGTTCGTCAATGGGGTTGGGATGATCCCATATATGAAAAGGAAAATAACAAATGTTTCAAACCACCAGCCAGATATTAAATGCCATCAATACTGGGACCACCAAAAAGAATAGATCCAAGACTAAACCAGGTGGTCATTTAGGGGGATGAATTTCGGGGGCAGCCTCAAATACTGATTTCATCTGCTATTAAGCTGGTAGAATAAGAATCCGTGCTTGATATTAGTAGTTATTGAAAACATCACGCGTCGCAAAACATTAAGGAACTGGATCGAACATCTGAAAATTGGTTTCACGGTTTCCACCAACCCCAAATATAAAGCCACGATTAACGATCATCCTCTTCTTGTTGCAGTGGCAAGTTGACTTGTTCGCGAAACAAGAAGTGGATATCAAGATATGTCGAGGCAGAAGGAGACCTTATATTGTTTGGGCACCGTGAAATCCCTTTTTCTGTTTCTGGTGAAGAATCGCAGGATACCTCTTTATGACGCAGGCAAACTTGGAGAAGGGATATGTACATCAAAGCATTGTTAAGCGGAACAGCACTTTAATGCCTTCTCGTCTATGGTCATGTTGATTGGCTACTGGGATGTGCATCACACTTACTAAGTGGGTAGTAACCCTAGTATATGACAGCTACATGGAAACATGGACACTATATATATATGTATATAAGCCTTATACACCAATATATCAATACACCAATTGTTGCTTCTATGGCTATCACTATGTGTCTATCTTTATATCTATCTATCTATCTATCTTTCTATCTATCTATCTATCCATCTATCTATCTATCAATCTATCAATCTGTCAATCGATCAATCTATCAATCTATCAATCTATCAATCTATCAATCAATCAATCAATCAATCTATCTATCTATCTATCTATCTATGTATATATCTATAAAGTGTATATATATATATATATGTATATATTATACATATTATATAAACACATTTTTTTATGGCTTATACACCAAACATACTAAGGCTCCCAACCTGACCGGCCCGGCCCTGAGCCGCCGCACGGCACAAGCCCGGCACCACACTGGGCGAGATGGGCACGTCCTGACATACGACATAGGAACTCGCCAATGAAAGAAATTAATACTTGGGGGGTGGTAACCAAATAAAAACCATAGTACATGTATATCTACATGTATATCTACATGTATATCTACATGTATATCTACATGTATATCTACATGTATATCTATGACATGTAGCTATTCAACAATTCTAAAAGGGAAAAACACAGCAAATGACATGAGATAACCATCCCCTTCACAGTCTTGATTCTTCAATTCCTCCCGCTGTGCAGAAGTACATGCATAAAGATAGATGTATATATTCCACGCCTTTTACGGGATATCCCCAGCTGTATATGAGTTGTCGTCAAACTCTATGCCTTCGCCTTCCTGATTTTTGCTGGACATCGGTCTTTGGGGGCTCCCTATGGCTACACATGGTTTTGTAATGTTTTGTTATAAAAATGATGAAGGAAGAAACCTGTGTAAGGAAAGGAAGAGGAGAAGAAGAGGAAAAGAAGAGGAAAGGAAAAAAGGACAGAAAGAGGAAAGATAAAAGAACGAGGAAAGGACGAGGAAGCTGTCCCTCTTCAGGAAGAGGAAAGGTAAAGGAAAGGACCAGGAGGATAGGATCTTTCAGTGGTCGGGGGCTCTTTGAACAAATGGGTATCACTAAGGTATCGCTAGGAATATGGCGAATTTCGCCTCTTGCATATACGCAACCTTGTGTGAATCAGATTCAAACGGGGGCATTACGTATGCATCGCCGTATCACTTTCTAGGGGGTTTCTATCGGTTTACAGTGTTTGGTGCACTTTCTAGAGACAAATGATCACTCCCTATTAAAGTGGTCCACCGCAGTCTTGACAGTACCTCATGTGTTGTTTTTTCTTTGAATCCAGCCAGTAAGTGGGATGCATATCCAAGCATAGCACTAATGTATGGACACCGTCATGGTTGGTTTTATTAACCCACAACAATGCATTGATATGCAAAAAACAAGTGATTGTATCCCAAGTAGTTGGGGCAAACAAACGCATACAATGAATAACAAAAGATTCCTAATAATATCATCAACAAATGGTGGATTATCATATTCACCATCCATATCTATGTTGATTTACTGAAAGGTATAAGTTATAAACTACAAAAACATAGGGTGAAAAGATCAAAACACAGACCATGATAGTTGATTATATATATATACAGTATATATATGTTACAGGAATTTCCGGATGTTGACCCAACGCCAACGATATGTCCACCCCAATTGGTAGCTTAGTCATGCCTAGTGTCTCAAACCAACTTGGCTAGTTGGGGTCGCAACAGAGCGGGGATCAACCATATAGGAATCACCAGAGAAATGACAGGCTGATGGGTTTTCAGATGTTTTCAAAACCTGAACCAAGTTGAACCCCATGTTGTCGGAATTTTCCTTGGACAAGGCCGTGGTTTTGATAGGTGCTTTCCACCCAAGACAGTAGCGAAAGGGCATGTATCCAGTGATTCTTCAGGTCCTGTCCAAACATCATGGCGGTTGCATATCACTTATCATTGCCATGAATGCATTTTTCTATAATATAATTCATATATATATATATTATTATTGTAGATTTACCTATACATGTATATACGCAAAAAAACAAAGTTATACATATGTGTATGTGTATCATATGTGGATTTATCTATATGCATATATCAACATGTACATAAATTCATCATGCTTATCCTCTTGGTGGGCCGCACCGTTCGTCCGGTCCCAAGGTCAACTCCGGGTGCCCCGACCACCGTGGTATCATCCAAGTCGCAAACTTTCAACCTCAGAGCCGTGAGGAACACCGAAAGACGCATGGTCCAATGGTCACTGAAGATGGCGATACCTGAAAAAAATGAGGATATATAGGGAATTGTTCGAGGGATTTTCTGAATTCAGTGGGTTTCCCCATCTCCTATTTGTCGGAAAAAGTGCAGTATTTTGTCGTAAAGTGTACTGAACCAATCAAGTAGATTTGCAACAATACATCTGCAAAACAATGGTTCCCAAGGAAAATCATTGACCAATGGTGAATGTACAATGTTTTTGTCAATTTACTTACTGTAGGGTATAGCAGCCACAATCCGTACTAATAATAAGAAAAACTATCGAACGTGTACGATAGTCCGACATACCCAGTCAAACTATGTTACAATAGTGGATAGAGAAGCAGCAAGGAAACTGAATAATGTAGTACAGCAAACCCAATGCCATACACCTACAATCTACAATTTGAGGATGGTTGTTACCATAGAAATTGTGATTTTATGGATGGTTTTCTTTTGGGTTTATCACATTATAAAAGCCCACAAAACCTCCATGTTTGATGCTTAACCTCTTTTTAGACCACACTATAACACATGACGTTTGGAATTCAAATAGTGGTTTATTTTTGTTTTACTAACATTAAGTACCTCCGTCTCCGTCTGCCCAAAATTGTTCTACTCTGCATGGTTTATGCCAATCCCCGGCCGTGGATGATTTGGCGGTAAACGAATTGCGCAAATTGATAATAACCAGCAGAACTGGAACATGTTGGCATTAGTATCGCTAATAGTATTCATGTTTATATATATATACATATATCATGTATAATTATGTATATATATATATACATATACATATATATATATAACTATATCATGTATAATTATATATAAATGCATATATATATATGTGCATATATATATATTATACTATATATGTGTATATTTTATAGCTATTTTATTCCCCACCTGCCAGGTGAGGGTTGTTAGATTTTATGTCAGTTGCCTCCTCCTCCTTCTCCTCCTCCTCCTTCTCCTCCTCCTCCTTCTCCTCCTCCTCCGCCTCCTCCTGCCTCGTCCTCCTCTCCTCCTCCTCCTCTCGTTGTCCTCCTCGTCCTCCTGCTCAACTGCGACTCGCGATCCACAGTGTTCGCTGTCGGACCTCAACCACGACCATCCACGCCCAGTGTTCCCTGCCGGACCTCAACCACGACCATCCACGCCCAGTGTTCCCTGCCGGACCTCAACCACGACCATCCACGCCCAGTGTTCCCTGCCGGACCTCAACCACGACCATACACGCCCAGTGTTCCCTGCCGGACCTCAACCACGACCATCCGCGCCAGTGTTCCCTGCCGGACCTCAACCGCGAGTATCCATGCCAAGTGTTCCCTGCCGGACCTCATGTAGGAATGTCAGATAGACTGCCAGATAGAATGCCAGATAGAATGTCAGATAGGATGCCAGATAGAATGCCAGATAGAATGCCAGAAAGAATGCCAGAAAGAATGCCAGATAGAATGCCAGATAGAATGTCAGATAGGATGCCAGATAGAATGCCAGATAGAATGCCCGAAAGAATGCCAGAAAGAATGCCAGATAGAATGCCAGATAGAATGTCAGATAGGATGCCAGATAGAATGCCAGATAGAATGCCAGAAAGAATGCCAGAAAGAATGCCAGATAGAATGCCAGATAGACTGCTAGATAGAATGTCAGATAGAATGTCAGAATATATGTCAGATATAATGCCAGATAGAATGCCAACATATATGCCAGAATATATGTCAGATAGAATGTCAGAATATATGTCAGATATAATGCCAGATAGAATGCCAACATATATGCCAGAATATATGTCAGATAGAATGCCAAAATATATGTCAGATATAATGCCAGATAGAATGCCAGAATATATGCCAGAATATATGTCAGATAGAATGCCAGAATATATGTCAGAATAACTGACAGGTAGAATGCCAGAATATATGTCAGATGAAATGTCAGAAAATATGTCAGATAGAATGCCAGATAGACTGCCAGATAGAATGCCAGGTGGAATGTCAGGATATATGCCAGATAGAATGCCAGAATATATGCCAGAATATATGTCAGATAGGATGTCAGAATATACTAAATATATGTCCAAATATACGTCCTGACATGTCATGGTGGGGATCACACGAAGTAGAGTAATTATATATATGTATATAAATACAATGACTGATAATTGCATATATTTGCTGATATTAATCCAACTTGATTTTTTCTTCTGCCGCGAGTTGATCGACGCAGGAATGTTTTAGCCGTGCCTGGAGCCCAGAAGCTCCCGACCGCCTCCGTATACTACGTTGGAACCCATAGCGACCAGCCAGCAGAACAAAAAATGGAGGTTTACCATGGGAAAACCATAGGAAAACGAAGGTTTACCCTCTGGTAAACTAACATATCTATGGAAAATCACCATTTTTCATAGGTAAATCAACAAACTAAATGTTCAATAGCTATGTAACAAATTACCTCAGGGTACAAAGGGGTTGGAACCCTGCTGATCTTTGTTGCCACGCAAACGGAAGTGGTTTACTAGTGAGACAAACAATTCTTTGGCGATAAATTTCCGGATCAACTCCTTACACCTGACATGGCTATGGGTCAAATTTGGGTACCCCAATCGTTCATGCTTAAATCTGTGGTCCCCCGAGTCCTAAATTTTGACCCATCCATGACATATATTCCATCATAGATATCAGCAATACCAACTATGTAGATATCATATAGATATTAATATTACCAATAGATATTAGCCCATTGCTAAAATGGTGATACCCACAATTATAACCATGTTTTTTCATGGGGAAACATAAAAATCATGCAATAGATTTAGGGGTACACTATTTTCAGACAAACCCACATGTGCTGTGTTCAAAACCGTCGTTTCATTACACTGGTTGATCAATAGGGATTCCCCATCATGGATAATCAATCTCCAATATATTCCTTGTATAAATGCGTTCACAGTATAATGATGTCAAATATAGTGAAATATATATATATATATTCTCAATATATATTTCCTATTCACTGTATATATTTCAATGTGATCATCCCAATATAGACATATAAAAGGAATATATAATATTATATATAGCCCATTATTCCACAGATACAATCACATTCCCCAACTATATATATATATATACCATTATTCCACTTATATATAAAAATAAATGGGTAAATCATATTAATTCACTAACCTAAATTAAGGCCACTTGGGGATGGTTTCCCGTATTAACCATGATTATAGTGACTAGTGAGGTCGCAATGAGGTCGTTATAATTTACCCATATATATATATAGAATACATATATGTATATAGAATACATATATATATATATATATATGCATATATATGCATAATATATATATATAATACATATATATATAACAAAATATAATATAGATATAATATAAATATATGTATAATACATATATATATATATACAACAAAATATATATTATATATAATATATATATATATATATAATATATAATATATATATATAATGTATAATATATATATATATATATAATGTATAATATATATATAATGTATAATATATAATATATATATATATAATGTATATATATATAAGGCAACTTAGCTATGACCCCATCCTGTTCACAGTCATAACCCCTGGTTCCTGGAGTCCGAGAGGCAGCTGTTGATCCGCCTCATCGAAGGCGCTCAGGGCGCCAGCGGTGCCTGGCGATGATTCTGGGATGATCTGATCCAACTGGGAACCTACGTATATATATATATATTATATCTATATAATTGTATATTATATATATACATATTATATATATACACTATGGATATAGCCATCTAAGATACATGTCGGCCTTCGTATTACCCCGTCTAGTCAAAGCCCTCTGATTTCCTGCTTCCGTAAGCATGTCGGCTTCACTCAATGGCTCACCTGGCCGACACCCATGAGTCCCAGGGTCCCAGGACGGTTCAACCGAGATGTGTTCGATCAACGATGTGGGATGTCTTACGGAAAACTGTGAGGATCTGTGAGGTCAACCTGGGGGAGCTATAGCCAGAGGATTCCACCTGAGGCTGTAACAAACGTAACCAACGAATTACTTGTAGGATTCGACTGGTGCAAAACATGGGGGAGAAAATCAGCGACAACCAGCAGTACCATTTTCCTATCCCCAAGTCCCAAGTCCTTTCCAAGTTGGTCAACAGAAACGAAAAAACCCCATTTTCGGGGGAACTGGGTCTCCAATTTTTGGAGAGCACTTTTTGTCGTTCAATGGCAAACTTCCAGCTCAACCCAAACCAAGTCACTCTAGGCTAGTCATGGATACCTGTGGCCCACACAAGCTAGATTCACATGAGCTGTGGGTATCAAATACAGCAAATAATTGATCCAAATTGTATTGCGCAAAGGGATTGTGGGGTGATCCCTAAAGTCAGTGATCGAATGGTGGGCAACTAGGTTGAACAAACATAGGTAACATAGGATACAACACGGTACAACTATTGGGATATTCTTCAGTACCTAATCATGTACAGTAAATTCCTTTAGGTAAGGCTTTCCTGGCTTCCCCAACTCATATATCTATATATTTCCATATCTTTACCTATTGCTATCTGGCTGGCATTGGAGTTTAATAAGCATGGAACCAGCAGACCTGGAGCCCTACCTGGAACACGCGGTTGTCGAGGCATGCCAATTGGCCTGTGTCCGGAAGTCACGGTACCCGTAACGGCAACAGGAATGGATCGCAAAGTGGGTGCACACGTTGCTAAACACTGGAGTTACCCTCCAGTAAACTAACATAACTATGGAAAATCATCATGATATTAACGGGTAATTCCACTACAAATCATCAATTTTCAATAGCTATTTGTATGTTTACCAGGCCGGGTAACCAACCAAAATGCTGATTCTCATGGCATTTCATGGCATTTCATGGTGACCAAACCCTGATTTGGTAATGGATCTATTTATTTGGGCTCCAGAAGGGGGGTATTTATATAATATTGGGGATATGGAATCATCCTGTTGTTCAGTGGTTTTCACACCAAAATGGCGGGTGTTCAGAACGATGTTCATCCTCAAGAATGGTTTCATACTTTCATCCTTTCTAGCTCATCAACACTCGCACAAAAACTCGCAGAATAGCTTAATGTTTTTTTTGTTTTTCGATTTCTTGTGTTTACACATCTCTCTGATGGAAAGCCATGCAAAACATACTTACCATGCAGAAGCTACAGGTTTACAAGTAGTGGAAACATGTTTGTGGTTTACTCCAGTTGTTTTACGTTCTTTCTGGCCATCCATGATTGCCACATATGTAGCTGCAACGAAGAGATCATATGACCAACTTCCGCCTTTACCCTCTGGTAATTTAACATAGCTATTGAAAATTGCCATTTATGTTCACTCTATCTCTTAGAACTGCTGATTTTCCATAGTTACCCTCTGGTAATTTAACATAGCTATTGAAAATCACAATTTTTAATGGGAAAATCCACTATAAATGGCCATGTTCAATAGCTATGTTATATTACCAGAGGGTATGTTAGTTTAGCACAGGGTAAACCCATATAAACCCCCAGATATGGCCCTGGGACATCAAAGTCAACTGGGACCCCGAACCCCGACCATCTCCTTGCGTTGCCGTTGTTGTGGTGCAACAGTTGCTGCCTCAGAGGCTGCCGATGAAGAAAATATCCCGGGCTAAAGGGGTACTTTTTTCCAAAAAACATGGAACATCCACAGTTTCTATAGGATTTACATATATATATATTATAACATAAGCTGTGGATCTTCCATATTGAATCAAATAATTGAATTATGTTTTCTTAGTGCAAGGTTTCGATACATATATGAAATATATGTATATATATGTAAGATTATAGAAGTGTCCAATTGAAATTTGTGACGTACAAGTGTGACCATCACCCAGTTGCCGGCCAATTCTTCGTAAACAAAAACGGCTTGTTTTAATAAACAAAGAAACCAGCGAACACGGGGTTTGAACCAGCAAACATCGTAATACTGTGCCAATAACATCAATCATTAAACTCCTGCATGTAGGTTCATCTGCAAACCCGTTGGATGAATTCTCAGGTCAGGGTATGATTTACAACGGGGGTACCCCAAAGCCCCCTATGGTTTATCATGATTTTCCCCAACCAAACAAACAACAATATGGCGTTATCCCGGTATCATTTTGAGATGAACTCATTGGTAGTGTTCAATCATGAGCAAACATATCCAGAATGTCAAGAACTGAACATTTCTTAGAGGGCTGCCAAAACAATCGACATCCAAAATCCACTATGTAATGTTCATGCATATATAAATAGAATATTATATATATATATATATTTATATATATCATGCATAATATATATATATATATATATATATATCACATATATTATATATATATATCACATATACATATATATCATATATATATATCATATATATATATATATATATATCATAACAAATGTTCTTGCACACTGTGCAAAACAACTCTTGGCGCATCTTCCCAATTTGGGGAAACTTCACTGGTGATTTTGACCGCCAGAAAACCAAAGTTGACCAAGAACTTCCATGTCTTTGGACTCCCAGTGCTGCGGCACTGCCAATTTATAGCCTCGGGCTGCCCCTCATGCACTTCTGCGAACTGCTCCAGGTGCTCTCGGGTACAGTATATATAGCATTTGTCGGTATGTAGTCCGCTACCCAAGTTCCCAAGTTCACATTAAGTACTCGTGGCAAAACAAAAACTATACACAACAAACATTGGATGATTGAATCTGATGATTGAAAAAACATCTATAATCAGTTTATAATCATCTATAATCACCTATACAGAGCAAACATTGGATGATTATGGGTGATTTACCCTCTGGTAAACTAACATACTATTAAAAATCTCATTTTTTCCCCACCTGCCAGGTGAGGGTTGTTAGATTTTATGTCAGTTGCCTCCTCCTCCTCCTGCTCCCCCTGCTCCTCCTGCTCCTCCTGCTCCTCCTCCTCCTCCTGCTCCTCCTCCTCCTCCTCTGCCTCCTCCTGCCTCGTCCTCCTCCTCCTCGTCCTCCTCGTCGTCCTCGTCGTCCTTGCTCAACTGCGACCCGCGATCCACAGTGTTCTCTGCCGGACCTCAACCACGACCATCCATGCCCAGTGTTCCCTGCCGGACCTCAACCACGACCATCCACGCCCAATGTTCCCTGCCGGACCTCAACCACGACCATCCTCGCCCAGTGTTCCCTGCCGGACCTCAACCCCGACCATCCACGCCCAGTGTTCCCTGCCGGACCTCAACCGCGAGTATCCACGCCAAGTGTTCCCTGCCGGACCTCATGTAGGAAGATAAAATGTCAGATAGAGTGCCAGAAGATTTGCCAGGTAGAATGCCAGAAAATATGCCAGAAGATATGCCAGATAGATATGCCAGAAGATATTCCAGAAGATATGCCAGATAGAATGCCAGATAGAATGCCAGAAGATTTGCCAGATAGAATGCCAGAAGATATGCCAGAAGATATGCCAGATAGATATGTCAGAAGATATGCCAGAAGATATGCCAGAAGATATGTCAGAATATATGCCAGAAGATATGTCAGATAGAATGCCAGAAGATATGTCAGAATATATGCCAGAAGATATGCTAGATAGAATGCCAGATTGAATGCTAGAAGATATGTCAGATAGAGTGCCAGAAAATATGCCAGATAGAATGCTAGAAGATTTGCCAGATAGAATGCCAGAAGATATGCCAGAAGATATGCCAGATCATATGCCAGAAGATATGCCAGATAGAATGTCAAATAGAATGTCCGAAGATATGTCAGATAGAATGCCAGAAGATTTGCCAGTAAGAAAATGTATAAATGTCATGGTGGGGATCACACGAAGTAAAGTAATTTTTTAAAGGGAAAACTCACTATGCCAATGGCCGTTTTCAATAGCTATGTTTGTTTGTTTACCAGAGGGTATATTATCCCAATATTATACCCCATTGATATTTACCATTTAGTATCCCAATATTATACCCCATTAATATTTACCAAAGAAACCAGCTGGGTCCTTATGACATCCCAACTCTTTTTTTGGCTGGCGGCTCGATCATCAACAAGTGCGAGTGTTGTCGAGGCCAGGCCTGGAGGATCTTCGCTGAGGACTAATATGGAATCAACCCTCTGGTAAACAAACACAACCATTGATATATCATTCATATTCCATTTATACCATTAATAATATTTTATCAATATACCATGGATATCCCATTACCCTCTGGTAAACAGACAGTTCACTATTGAACATGGCCATAGAAATAGTGGGTTTTCCCATTAATAGCATGGTGATGTTCCATAGTTATGCTAGTTTACCAGAGGGTATATGGCATCCTAAAAGAATGAATTCAACGGTAAAACAAGGGAAACATATATGAAAACATATATGAACATATATGGGAAGGTGGATAGTTGGGGGGTCTTTCATATATGTTCATCATGTACAATGTGCACCCATTGGATAGGGTTCCCTGGGTTTGTAACTATACAACGACAAGCATTTATATGGTGGATATGTGTATATACATGTACACACTTGGATAGTTCATTGGGTTGTCCTGGGATGTCCTGGGATGTCCTGGTCCAAAATGATCCCCAATTGACACAGGAATCTACTGACCTCCTCCTTGCGGGTCGACAGGAACGTTACGGCAATGCCTTTGGGATGAAGCTGGACCCCTCTCATCAGTTTGCCATAACCATCCCAAACGAAACTACGGAGAGGGTCTTTGATAGATCGTATGGACACCTTGTTGTGAGCCACTCCCTGAAAACAAATATGTATAATATATATATATTGTCTGCCCATGTGGATCATTATCCCAAGTTCCATGGAGATACAACATCATCAACATCACACAGAATATTGAAAGCACCACACAGAAACCCAAGAATGATGGATTATAGAGCATGTTGCTGATGTGAAAGAAGGACCGCTGACATAAGTTGAGTGTCGAGCGTCAACATACCATATATATATATTGTGTATATATATATAAATATATATTGTATATATATATATTGTATATATATATTGTATGTATATATATATATATTGTATATATATATATATACATATATATATTGTATATATATATATACATACATATATATATACACATATTATATATATACATATATACATATATATATATACATATATATAAATACATGTGTATATATATGTATATATGTATATATGTATATGTATATATGTATATATATACAATATATATATATATAATGTGTATATATAAATAAATATATATATATATATATGTATATATATATACTATGTATAAATATAGATGTATATATATGTATATATGTAAATATATATACACATATACATATATATATATATATGTATATGTATATGTATATGTATATATATATATAATTATGTGTATATGTATATATATATGTATAAATATATGTATATATAATTATATGTATGTATTGTCCCTCTATAGGGTAGGTTACTAGCTCCCAAACAATCATCAACCATCTGTGGATTTTGAAACTGCTCACGTTGATTATATCATCCACCTGGGTGAAGCTGGAACTACCCTCCGGTAAACTAACAGTTTGCTATTGAAAATGGTCCCTTTGTAGTTGATTCACCTACTGAAAGTGGTGTTGTTTTTCCATAATTCGGTGAGTTTTACCAGAGGGTAAGTTCCTACTTCAATGATTCATTCTACTGTCAAACATACAAACATGGACCGCTTTGGCAGTTGCAAGTGATGAGTGTCCACAAAACATGGCGAAGTAAACGCCCAATTTTCCACGTGGAACGCATGCAAATCGGCTCGGCTAGCTGGACTTTCACTTTTGCCCCTGACTGCGTTTAGATATAGATGAGCTGATCCTCAATTGTGGAGCTGTCACCGCCATGGGCTTGGTTGCCCCATGTCACGATGCTTCCATCCGCCAAAATGGCAGCAAAAGCATCGGCTGTTCCACAAATCTCCTGAACATTCTTAAGCTGGTCCTGGACTGTCGAGCTATCACCACCATAGCTTGGATTTCCCCATGTCACCGCAGTTCCATCGTTTAAAATGGTCGCGAAAGCAGAGTCTGTGGCACAAATTTGCTGAACATGTCTAAGCAGGTCCTGAACTCTGGAACTGTCACCAGCATAGTCTGGATCGCCCCAGGTCACTACGGTTCCATCTGCCAAAATGGAAGCAAAAGCTCGGTGTGTTCCGCAAATCTGCTGAACATTCCTCAGCTGATCTTGGACTGCAGAGCTGTCACCGCCATAGTCTGGATTGCCCCAGGTCACCACATTTCCATCTGCCAAAACCGCAGCAAAAGCACCAAGTGTGCCACAAATCTGCTGAACATTCCTCAGCTGAAATTGGACTCTGGAGCTGTTGCCACCCCAGCCTGGCCTGCCCCAGGTAACCACGCTTCCATCTGCCAAAATCGCAGCAAAAGCAACAAGTGTGCCACAAATCTGCTGCACATTCATGAGCTGATATTGGACTCTGGAGCTGTCACCACCATTGACTGGGCTGCCCCACGTCACCACGGTTCCATCTGCCAAAACAGCAGCAAAAGCAGCGACTGTGCTAGAAATCTGCTGGACGTTCCTGAGCTGATGTCGGACTGTGGAGCTGTCACCACCATGTTCTGGATGGCCCCAGGTCACGACGCTTCCATCTGCCAAGATTGCAGCAAAAGCATGTTGTGTGCCACAGATCTGCTGAACATTTGTCAGCTGATGTTGGACTCTGGAGCTGTCACCACCAAAATCTGGATCGCCCCAGGTCACAACGCTTCCATCTGCCAAAATGGCAGCAAAAGCACTCCGTGTGGCACGAACCTGCTGAACATTCCTCAACTGATCTTGGACTCTGGAGCTGTCACCACCGTAGTCTGGATGGCCCCAGGTGACGATTCTGTGTCCCCCACCACACCACAAAGCAAACGCTCTTCCGGTTGCAGCTATCTTTGGCTGCTGTGCAACAGCAGCAATGCTGTCTCCGTCTTGAAGCCCAGAAATTTGAAGAGATTCTCTTGGATCCAAAAGACGGCCTTCACCTGTAGCAAGTCTCAGGAAACGATGCCCAAAAGACTGTTGTGCAGCTATTTTTAAGTCAGCAACTGTGCCAGACTGTGAGACGGCGACAGTTTCACACCGTCCACTTGGCAAAAAGACTTCAAGTTCAATGGAACTGTCTGCCTTCTGACAGCTTTCAGCGCGCTTCATGACACGGTTGCTAAGATCTATGTAGCTGAAACAATAGGAAAAAATGGAGGAAAGACAACCGTCTGCCCTCACGGGATTGCTCGCCATGGCTGGGGATGTTGAGGTGGCCAAGACTGAGACGGTTTCACTGTGTCCACTAGGCAAGGAAACGTGAAAGCGGTTTGGAACTTTGGAAGTTGATTTCTCTTCCTCTGGTAAGGCAGTGCTTGCCATTGCTGGAGAATCCAAATGCGAGCTTGAGACGATCTTTCTTTTGAGATGATACAAACTGAAACCTCTGTTGAGCCACGGCACGCAGTATCACCTGAATTAGTCCGACCCCTACATTGATGTAAGTTGTAGAAAACTCGGCCAATAGTCCTCCCAAAGAAACCGGAACAAATCCTTTGCCATCAACATGTCAGTCCTTCCAGAAGCACATGGCACATGAAAAAAATATGTAATATGTATACATATATATAACAAATCAAATACACTAATTCATAATAATTCATAATATGTTCTTCCAGGATTCAACCATATGTGTTTTTGGCCCCATCCATTCATCCCATCTTTGGGCTGCTTGGGAACCAGGATCCCAACGGGGCCACTTGGGCGTTGACCCAGTGAAACGTTTCGCCGTAACGGTGAAGGAACAGGACGAGGGTATATTTCATGGAAATAATGGAGGGGGTATAATCATGTATATATATATAATCCAAATCAGCAACCATTGGACAATAAAAAATCGTGGATTCAACCAATATATCCCAACAATTGGATCGTCAATTTCCTCATCTGACTTATATATATAATCTTATATAAATATCCCATGAAATATCCCATTATGAACAATTTATCAACCATTATTTCCCACTAATCCTGTGTTTTTTGGTTGAATCCCCATTAGCCACTGTGAAACATTAATCATAGCTATAGGGATTCCTATCCATTGTAAATAAAAATCATCATTATCTGAGAGTAATCCCTTTATAAACCATTATGAAGTATGATAGTAATCCCTATAACATCCTATAACCAATATTTTTAACCATCATCAACCAGTATTAACCACTATTATCCATTACTATCTACTACAGTACTTATTAACCATTATAGCTGTGTGGATTACTATGAACCACTATAAACCACTATGATAATGGATAAAAATGTGATAAAATCAATCATCAGATTCTCTTATCTGATCAACCACATAGATAAAACACTATAAACCATGATTATTGTATGATAAAATATGATAAAATCAATCATGATCTCTAATCAGATCTGACTTCAGTATGGATTACATCCACTATCACTATTATATATATATTACTTTTAGCCACTATAAACCATTCTCTGATCAGACTTCAGATCTCTATAATCTCTAATCCCGTCGCCTGCACGGGTCGCGTCGATGCATCGCCCAGCACCACGTTGGCATTGCCACTACGTCCAGGGATCTCCTGCCGTGGCTGCGGTGTGGCGGTCACAAGCAAAGAAGGGTGATTTGATGAGGATTGACAATCAAAAATGGTGATTTAGTGGGATTTAACCAGATTTAACCAGATTTAACCAGATTTAACCAGATTTAACCAGATTTAACCAGATTTAACCAAATGTAACCAGATGTAACCAGATGTAACCAGATGTAACCAGATGTAACCATCAACAACTGTGATTTTTCATGGGATTTCATGATGATTTCCATGGTAAAACATTGTGATTTCCATGAGGATTCGGTACTTTCATTGGATTGAACGGCTACGTGGGAGGGTTGCATCTCAATTAGTGGTTCATAACATTTCATAACCATGGTATCAGGTGATCATCAATGGCCATGACGAGCTGGAACCGATTGAGGACGGAGGTACCGATTCCATATATAAGGCCTATTTTTCAGGCCTATTTTTTAGGGAATATCCCACAAAATATGGCCAACAAAATGGTACAGTACCTCCATTTTAGGATCCTGAAATTCCCATTGATATAACCCATTTCTGGCTTGTAGTTCCGGTACCCTCTGGTAAACGTTTACATAGCGAACTGGAAAATCACTATGCTATTAATGGGTAAATCCACGAACTGAATGGCAATTTTCAATAGCTATGTTAGTTCACCAGAGGGTACACACGATCGGGATGGATGATAACTAACTCCCTACCAAGTTCTTGAGCTTCTTAGCCAGTCCAGTTCAGTATTTTTTCAGTATCCCGTTGCTTGTGGATTATCATATGTAATCCTGAATAAATCAGATACTTTAATCACCCCCCTGCAGAACATATCAACCAGCTTTCATCACGCAAAAATCACCATATCATTGATAGTTTAGCCTCCGTTTCAAAACAACAAAATAAGTGATGGTGCAAGTCCCCTTTAAATAAAACATTGATAGCCATCAAAAACAAATCTTACCAGAGTTCAAAAAAAACATTGTAGCTAATAACCCACTATCTCACAACCATCCAACCATCATTCTTAAGTTGTATCCCCCCTATCTGGCCCTAGAATTCCCATTAAAGCCCACTGTTTTCATGGCTCCTGCGCAGGCGGTCCACCCATCGGCAAGCGACCCACCTGGGCAGGGCCTATTTGTAGATGATTTATCTACTAATCATGGTGGTTTTCCATGGCTGTCTTAAATTGACAGGGTGTATACCCCGAGGAAAAAATAAAAACATGGAAACCTTTAAAATATGGGGAGAAAAAAACGAACATCGAACTACAGTGCACAAAAACACGTGTTGATCTTTTCTAGGGTTACGATTTCTTGTGGTTATACTGGGTCTAGAACCCTTTCAGGGGAGAAATCCTGATAGGCCTGGGTGAGGATCCTCCAGGGATCCTCCAGGGTGGAGAAAACCACCGTGCCAACCAGAAATTTCATAGGCTACCCGGCGGCTACCCATATCCCATGACGGATCCATGGTGCTGGTAGAAAAATGCTAACATGACTGGGGTATATTGATGGGATCCATGTTACCATATATAGTATATAGCATGCATGGATCCTATGGGTATAGGATATTTTTCCCATAGGATACTCAAAGAATGGTAGCCATACTTGGTGGTTCATCCCACTTACTAAGTAGGTTATAACCCTGGTTATAAATGGGCTAAATAGGATTATTCCACTTGTAACTAGGATTATAACCGACTTACTAACTGGGATGAACCACCAAGTAACCACATTACGTGGCGTTCTCGTCATTCCCATTGACGCTACCATATCGACTCTATTTTGGTGCAAGCTTTCTGAATGTGTTAAAGTCAGAAACAAACGGTTGAAGTAAATCACCAAAGCAGTTGGGGTGTCTGATTGGAGAAGTTGATTGGTATAGCATCAAATCCAAAATGTTTGATTTTTGTAGTTGCAGGAAGTACCCCCCGAGTGACAACTTGGTGTGTGTGTTCTCCATTTAACTATATGTATTATATATATAGCTATGGTTATATTTCCCATAAATCCAATCGTTCGCCGAATGATCAACCAACTTGGCTAACTAAATCCCATTAGATCCCATTAAATGTGAAACCCTTTTTGGGGGTTCCGCAGGAAGAGACCCCCCCAATAAATACAAATCAGCCATGGGTCAGGACATCCATCAAGCCCTAACCAATTGGGAAGCTGCGAGATGCCTATCTGTAATGAGATAGGAATACTACTATGTTGTATTAACTCATCTCATATGGATATTATTGTTTGTGGTCATCTGTGTGTACCTGGATAAACCTGGATGATGGGGATGCAACTTGGAGTGTAGCGACGGCCGCACGACCTGTTGCCCCACTCAACAGCAGGACTGATCTGGTGCAACTAAAAGGCGTCAGCTTGCCAGCCGAAGAGCTTGTAAGAAGACTTCCATCCCCCCCTACCGAAATAATATGCATACATACCCTAAATAGTTCCAAATATCTGTAAATCCCCCACTAAATCATTTTTGTTTCAGGGGGCCATGTTTAGTATGAACGAGGGTTTCACAAGTTGGACCAATATGATCCATATGACTATGACCAATGATAGGACTTAGACTGAAGTGGTGGCCCTGGCCTGACCAGGACTTCGTCAGTCATTAAACAGCAGGAGTCCAGTAATTTGGGATTTGGGATATATTTTTTGGCCACAAGAACAAGGTGGGCCCTCCCAGTTCAAAGGTGGTTTGTAAACCCAGGGCCATAAACCCTAGTTAACCAAGTGATAAACCAAGTTGAAGAGTCGAAAAAAATGAATTACATTTCATTCAGGATCATCTCAAGCACAAAACGGATGATTTCAAGATCTTCATTGGTTTTTTTGGTCAGTTCATCAAAAATTTTGTTCGAAATTTGGATGATCAAACATCTTTGGAAACCACCAATGGTAAACAATCAGATTAGCCCCATGTTTGTTTCGTGAAATTCCGGTTGATGCTTGGGGCAATTTTCCCAAATCACCGATACTTGAAACCATCAACCAAGTATAGACTAGACTCCAATCGCCGAGATTTCAGTGGCTGAAACCAAGAGCTAAATTGTTGGGAAACCTCCCAAATATAACTGATGGTAGCACCTCCACCGTTGGTGATTATGAAGTCAGCAAAAATACGTAGATACTCAGAATCAAAAATCACCTCATTGAAATCTATGGCGCGAAAAAAAATGTCTGCGTGTCTCCACAGCCTTCTATTCAGACCCATCATGCACATCCATTCACCACGCTTCCACAAAATTTGGGTTTGTCTCAAATTAGGCAGTTCAAACCAGTTTTTGTTTGTTTTTTTTTGTAAGTGTTTATCGTAGTTTTCTTAAATGTGTCAATGGCCGCAAAAAGGGGCCACACCCCATTTTTCGACGAAAAAAAATCGAAACTGCATGGTGATCTGAAGCCCCCAAAACTGTTGTTTTTGTCAAAACCCTAAATGGGGAAAACCTAAAACACATATAAACCCACAAACCATCAAAATATATGTTCTGATATCCCGTTATATCAACTATTATTTTTTTGTGGTCACCCCACTGATGTTTGGTAAATTACCAACATCTGAAACCATCAACCAGTCTTCAGTTGGTTGTAGACCTATCATATCCAACTTGGATGGTTGAATCACTATTATGCTGGGTTCAATCCTCGCTTTTTACTGGCCAAATCATCAAATGTTTGAAGTGACCAGTTCAACTTCAATATTCGTTGGTGATACAGTCTATTAAAAAAAAAAAAACGCACCTTTAAAATTTAGGACTGTGACCCCCTCCAGCTCTGCCAAACACCAGGACCCCAGCCGCCGGTGGAACGTCGCGACGGAGTGCAATGCGTGTAAAAGCCTGGTGCATCAAAGTCCAGTCGATGACATGCCGGAAAATGCCAGTGGTTGGTGGATTACATATTGCCAAAAATTGAACATATACACATGTACATATGGGGAATAAATATATATATATATATACACATTTTTTTTAAACAAAAAACATCTATATATATATACATGTATATATACATAAACAATCATAGTTTTATAAATTACATAATTACAAATATATATATATATATAAAGAACCCTAAAACTGGCAAACAACGTTTCTACCTTTTTGGATGTTACGACCAGAAAGATAGATAGATCGATAGATAGATAGCTAGCTAGATAGCTAGATAGCTAGATAACTAGATAGCTAGAAAGATAGATAGAAAGATAGATAGATAGATAGATAGCTAGATAGATAGATAGAGTGATAGCTAGATAGCTAGGTAGATAGAAAGAAAGAAAAATAGATAGATAGACATCTAGATAGGTAGATAGTTAGATAGTTAGATAGATAGATAGGTAGATAGATGGATAGAAAGATAAAAAGATAGATAGATAGAAAAAAAGAAAGATCGATAGATAAATATAGATATATAGATGGATGGATGGATGGATGGATGGATGGATGGTTGGATGGGTGGATGGGTGGAAAAAATGCGACGGTGCGTATACTATGTATGTATATATCGGTGTAAATAATAGATATATATATATATAAATGCCAAGAGGCTTATCTATGATCTACTTGTTCCAAGCATTCAACATGTCAATTTTGACACTTGCTTGGGAAAGTCACGCCCTTTAGGCGCTATCATCCATATCATGAGACTCTGAAGCAGATGAAACTGTCTCCCAGTCAATCTGCTGTCTTTGGCGCAAGTTGCAAAAATTTGAGATTGAATGCCACGCATAGCTTTGAGCAGCTTCTGACAAAGTGGTGGTATGTGAGCCAGTGCTTCCACTAGCCTGACTTTCATGTTCTTGTGGTTTCTCCTTCGGCCACCACGACATCGGATGACTGCCATGTGCGTTCATATGGAAATATTTCTTCAGATCTGCACGTCCTTGAACTGCATCACCAATGTTGTCAAGTGTCGTTGGAGGTAGTCTGGCAGATCTTTTAGCATCATTCGATATTGCTAAAGCGCGAAAAAGTTGAACAATCCCGGAACTATATACACCTGAAGCGAAGGCTCTGCCATTAACTGGCTCAGTTTCGGCTGAAACCGTTCGATTTTCATTGAAATTGATGATTTGCATATCTGCTAATGCAAAGTCCAAGCAGACGCTTCCTCAAGTTCATAGCAGTTGACTTTCCGATCTTACTGGATGTGTCTGATCTTTGTTAATGGAGTCCATGATTTTGGCCTGAACGTTGAAGACAAATTCATGGCGCGCTGTTGAAGGAATACGAGATGAAGGGCAATCAAGTCAACATCTGCCACCATTCCATCCTGACTGGTCTCAACAACTCTTCTGTTTGCACGAATATGTCTGTTTTGTCTAACGGTAGCTGTTTCCTGTGGCTGGATTTCGAATATGCACCCGGCAATTTGGAACATTTGGAATATTCGAAACATTGGATTATTTGAAATATTTTAAATGTTTGGAATATTTTAAATATTTGGAATATGTGAGATATTTGCAAAATGTGGAATATTTCGAATATGCAAAATATTCCAAATATTGCAAATATTGAAACTAGTTTTGGAATAATTGTAATCTTTGAAATATTTCAAACATTTGTAATCAATAGGAAATCTAGAATCTTTTCATTGTTTGAATTAAATGTAGTTCAGGATATTTGAAATCTGAAATATCCAGAATATTTGAAATATTTGGAATATTTGGTATATTTGAAATATTTGGAGTAATTGGAATATTTATACCTTTGAAATATTCGGATTTTTTGGGATCTTGATATATATATATATATAATTATATATATAAATATATAATAATTCAAATGTTTGAAACTTTTCACAATTTTGCTTTATTTAAAGCGTGTTGAATCCTGTCAAAGCTTATGCTCTGTTGAAGTTCTTGAACTATATAGATTAAATCATTTTTCAAAGAATCGAATATAGGTAGATCACAGGGCAGCCTGTTGCCACATATATATATATGTGTGTGGGTGTAAACCCTTCTTACACAGGGCGTGGTATGAATATGATTGAATATGCAGGGGGCATGCGGCCATCATGCAAGCCCATGCCAACGAAGCTATGCATGATGGTGGAAGCCGGGGCTGATCACCCTGGTGTACCTGCAGTCAACTAGTTGAACTGTTGATTTCGGTTTCTGTTCAATGCGGTACCGTGTTTCCATTCACACAACTTCTGGAACCAGCTTCAATTCTCAAAAACAGCCCAGTGTGTACTTTGTGTATGTATGTGTGTATGTGTGTATGTGTGTATGTATATATATATATATATATATATGTATGTATGTATGTATGAATGAATGAATGAATGAATGAATGAATGGATGGATGGATGGATGAATGAACGAATGAATGAATGTTAGTATATATATATGATTATATATGATTATAAATGATTATATATGATTCAATATGATTATAAATGATTCAATATAATTATATGTGATTAAACATGATTATATATGATTAAATATGATTATATTTGATTACATATGACTGTATATGAATATATATATATATATATATATATGTGTTTTGTGCGTGTATATATACATATACATATACATATACATATACATATACAGATACATATCTATATACATATTTATATGCATATGCATATACATATAAGCATAAACACATATACATATATATTTATATACACATTGGATATATATATATATATATATAGGTTGATTCAACGGTTCATTTGAGCAGTGACACACAAACACACACACACACGGGAACATGACTCACATAGCAAACGTTGTATAGCTCTCCTCATTAAAAAAAAACACTTTTCAAATCACCGGTTAAGCAATGTCCATTGCTTAAGTAACTCGTTAGATATTGCCACAGTGGATGATGACAATATCCTATACACCAGGCAGTATACTCCCACATATTAAATCCCACCAATTAATCACCATATTGCATGGCTACTCCCAAACAAATCATCAGTAGATATTTTATACAACCAATTTGACCATATTAATGTTCTACATTGGTTGCGCACTTGCCACTTTTAGGAAATCATCGTCGTTGATTCCCCCGGTTTTCGGTTTTGAGGGAAAGGAATCCACCAACCAACATCCAACATTAACATCATCACAAGGTGGTGCCCTAGCCTTAAGTTGGTTTAATGTATAAACCCATCTGACTATGGCCATTATAACCACCATAGATCGTAGTTACTCTAGTTGTAAAGCAGATTATCTATCTATGGGGCAACCTTTTCCCGGATAGTCAAGTCCCTCTTGACGATGCTTAGCTCCCATGAATTCCCATGAAATTCGAATTGGTTTATCAATGGGTATAGCTACAGTGGTAACCTCCAAAAGTCGGGATCACCAAGTAGGACTTCACATCCCCAGATTCAAGTTTTACTGACGGTTAAATCCCCAAATTTCCAGTAAATATCCCATTCTTAATGGTTAAATCCCGACTAATTCCAACTAAATATCCTATGTTTCATGGTTTAATCACTAGAATTTCCATTCTAGACATCGCATATATATGTATATATCTATTTTTCATGGTTTAAATTTAACAGACATTTTCCTGGCTTTTCATGGGGTACCACTGGCTCCGTCAAGGAACGCGATCCCTCAGCAGCTGCGCTTCCGCCACCAGCTCTGCTGGGAGTGTCCGAAGGACTTCCTGTGAGTCAGTAGGGTCAGGGGATTGAATCAATTTGTGACTACCCAAGATAATAAGTGTTGATTGAATAACTGTTAATAACTGTTGATTAAAGATCAATCTGTGGCAATTGAATAACTGTTCAGAATCAATTGGGATCGTTCAATAGATTATCAATATGAAATATTATTCAATAATCAATAGTTAACCTATGTCCCAATTAATCTATTAAAGGATCTTCGCTAATTTGGACATACTGTGGATGGAAGAAATCCTGCACCACCTTGGATGGTTAAACCCCTTTAAATAATGGGATAAACCTCCTACCAACTGGTGCACGATTTCTTCCATCCACCGTAGGTTGACTATTAACAGGCTGGTAATACGTAACTATTAATTGGGTCATAAGTTAACTATTTTCATAGGGGATTAACAGTCTGTAAAGAATCTGTATAGTCTTTATGACCTATTAAGTACTGATAAGATCAGTCTTGAATGAAATATTGAGTCAACTAGATTGAGAGAACTCAATCTATAAGTATAGGTCAGTAGTAGATATTGGCTATCTGTGACTAAGACTAAGACTATAACTAAGACTATATCTGATACGATCAGTCTTGAATAGTATTTAACAGTCTTATAGGATTTGAACAGATGAAATAGAGGATCTAAAACACTTGAACAGATGAAATAAAGGATTTCATAGGGCAATCTGGATTTCATTGCTTTTGTTTAAAGGGAAAATATGAGGATCTGAATCTACTGTAAGATGATATTGTTCACGGACATTTCTGAATGGTATTTCGGTATTTATGTTATATCAATAAAATATTCCATTGTATTCCAATCTATATAACTGGCAATTTTGCAAATGAAAAGTCGGGTGTAACGTAGATTTTACAGGGTTTTATGGAAATTCACCCAATAAAAAATGGGATGCAATGTTTTTTTTATAATTGAATGGCGGCTTAATGGCCACTCACATGGGTGAAATTAGGTCTTAAACATGCTTTAAACATCACATTTGGTGATATGTGAGGATATAATGAGAACATATAAGTAACCAGAATAATGGGCAATGGTTGGAAATCCCTATCAGGCTGGATTTGGAGGTTTCCTCCATCATAGGGGTACCCCAATAGCTGGATGGTTTATAATGGAAAATACTATTAAAACTAAAATCTATTAAATAAAAATAATATGGATGATTTGGGGGTACCCCTATGACTTAGGACACCACCAAATTGTGACAAAAAATGTTCATTTTCTTTTTCACACCCCTGGCTAGAATCACTCGAAGATCATAGGAAATATATGGACATATTCCATAGTGATATGGAGGTTTCCTAAAATAGGGCTAGCCCCAAATCATCCATTTATAGATGGGTTTCCCATTAATTGTAAACCATCCGGCTATTGGGGTACCCCTGTTCCAGGAAACCCCCATACTATGTCCATGAAAAAATGCCATGGATATATCATTAATATTCCATTTATACCATTCACAATATCTTATCAATATCCCATGGATATCCCATTACCCCTGGTAAACAAACAGTTCGCTATTGAAAATGGCCACAGAAAGTTCGTGAGTTTTCCCATTAATAGCATGATGGTTTTCCATAGTTATATGCCATTGATATATCATGAACAAATCCATTTATACCATTAATAGGTACCATCTGGTCATTTAACATAGCCATGGAATATTCCATGGAATTAATGGGATTTATATTAATATCTTATCAATATCCCATGGATATCCCATGAAAAATATTCCATATCGGATAAGTAATCACCACATCGTGCGCCTCAGGTGCGCTCAGCAAGACTTCCTCCCGCAGCATGGGATCTAAGGACCTGAGGGGCGTCAGGCGGCGTAGCGCTATCGTCGTCCTGGTGAGATCCCCGTTAAAAGGGGGGAACCCGTTTGGGAAAGCCATGGGAAAAAAGAAAAATTGGGATTTGTAGCTGATTTGTATTGATAGCTATATAAACTGACAGATTTATAATTCGGCTAACTGTTGGGTTTACTAAGGATATAATTGTAGTAAATGGGGGTTGTTAACCAACTTATAACTGGGGGGTCTCAACTTGTAACTCAGGGATTCTGAAGCATCAAAAATGGTGATGTAACAACATTTAACGCCAAAAAAGGTGGTTTTCATAGGATTTCATGAAAGATCCACTCGCTGGGTCCATGTGAAGAAACCCACCAATTTCCAATGGATTTCCAATGGCTTTGCAGCCAGTTCCATGGATTGATCCAGTGATTTCCCAAGCAAACAAAACAACCAAAAGTTAACAAATCTGGCCTGCCGAGCTAACGAATCATGCCCTAAAACAAATCCACTTAGAAAGATGTTCGCTGCAACCCTGACTTTGCGCCGCGTCTGACTTCAGGTGGCTATGAAGATGAAGTTGATGTTATTACCCCAATCAACAGATTGTTCATAGGGGGAAGATTGTAAGTGTGGAGCAACGTCCGGGTTGGGGCGAAGATGTTTCATTAAAGACCATGACCATGGCTATTCATGGTTAATCAAATCCCAAACAAGACATATTAATAGATGTTTTTTCCCCATATTTTTTCTCGGAAAAAAAACACAGATTTCCCCCGTGCTTTTCCCGACCCCCAGGAAGCCCCACGCAATGAAGGAGGCGTTGTCCAATTCATTGCTGCCAGCCCCGCGACCTGGAGGAGTCCGTAAGTTTCCTAAGTCATGGGGGTACCCCTAACCCATCCATTTTAGAAAAGGATTTCCCACTATAAACCAACCAGTGGGAGTACCCCCATTTTAGCAAACCTCCATATAAAACATATATGCATATGTAATTATATGTATATATGTTAAATACTTCATTATTGGAGTCATACACCATAGTTAGAGAGTAATAATATCATTATATATCATTATATAACATGTGTTAACTATACTTACGATCCGGGTAAGTATAGTTAATGGTTGCCATAAACCATCAGTGGGTAATGTTTACCAACTTAGCTACCGCTTCAGTCAGTGCTTTCCCAACAACTCTCGATAGTGAGGCAAAGCTGATGCGCTCAGAGACAATGGCGGCTGTGCCGTGAGTTTTAAAGTGATGGGGGCATGACAATCCTGTATCTCAATGGCTTGGTTTAAAGGGACAAATTACAGGAAAGGCCCAGATTTAATGGGAAAATCGATGGTTCCCTGTAACATTTCCCGTAAACCAATCCATTGACACATGGTTTCTTGGTTGGTCAGCCAAAGGCTGGTTGAAGGACATGGAATCAGATCAAAGTTGCCAGTATTATGACGTGGGCAGTTGACACAACAAAACTATGGATAAGAAACAAACTAAACGGACATGTGAGCAATAGAAATTCTGCATAAACCAACCAACAAAAAAGGGCATCAACTGGGTGATTTAGCATGAATTCACCAACCGTAATGAGGTATGTTGCCATATTTCACCGCCAAACATTGGTGAAACCTGTTCCCCCATTTTTTGACAACCCCGCCAATCAGATTATTAACGATATCCTGTTCCTGTTATGTCCTTTATTCTATTGGGCTGCGTAAATGATGTTCAAAATGGTGTTCCCACTACATATACATGATATCTTCTCAAACAAACCATACAGGAAATCGTTTCCATCATCTGGTGGTTCAACACCCTATTGATCTTGTGTGGCGTTAAACATGGTTAAACCCTAGTCTTTCAATGTCTTTCACGCCTTTCACCAAGTTTTAGAGTGACATCTCAATTAAAAAAATGGCTACAACTTGAGGCCCCTTTGAGGTCACATAAATCCAATGACCTCCAGCCATCCCTAATGACTTGCCCAATCCCCAAAATGATGAAAATCAATGACTAATACATGTCATTGGGGAAAATTGGGGATACTTTGTTTGAAAGGAACGCCAATGGATAAACCAATGTTCCATCTCCAAAGTTCCAAGGTTGATCTTTTGGTTGAACCAAATTGATCCAACTGACCTGCGCCTTCAGCTGAAGCAGTGGCTGCCTGATGGATTCAAGGGAAATTTGACCGGAACCTGGCCGCTCCAAACACTCCAAAGTTCATTGGAGTTTCCCACCATCCAATTCTGGGTTTCTAACTTGTTGTGGAGAGCTATCCCCATATGCTCCATGAATGGAATATTTGACTACATGTGGGCTATGTTTGGGGTAAATGTTGATATTCCATACATGGAGCATATATGGAATGACCATCATTTTTTGTTGGTTTCTTGGGCTTTCAGCTCCATGAAAGCATGGAGATTTGGAACACATTCTGTGGCATGGCAACAGCACTTCGTCATCTGGAGCTGGCTCGAGAAGCTTGATAGAGATATGTTAGGCATAGGAAAGTTTGATAGAGATAAGTTGATGGGGGTAAGCTGATTCTTCCGGCTGTTGCTGGTTGTTCATGATAAATTATAATCATTGATACTCATGTTAGTCATAAGATCTCTCACTTTCGTTGGTTGAATCATGTCGATGTTTATTGTTTCATACGTTCGCGGCTGTTTCAAACAAAATGTTTGCACTCCTCTTTGGCCGAGGAAGGAAAAAAAACAACAACAACAATTTTGCTGCATAAACCAATAGATGATCATTTTAAAACTAAAATTTAAGCCAAACTGATCGGTCACCTCAATCCGTATTTTTTCTGGGTTAACCATACACTTTCACACCATCAACCATACATTCCACTGATAAACACTGTGTTGTCACTGGCTCAACCCGTACACGCACAGAAAAAAAAGCGGCCTGCTGCTCTCGTTGTCTGGCAGCTTCTTCGCGTAGAACCTTCGGATGACTCCGAGTTTGAGTCTTAAGGATACCCCGGCTACCCCTGAATTTCACAGCAACACATACAAATACTCTACCAGTACCATGTGCTTGGAGTTATCATCCCTCCTTTCTACCGGTGAAACGGTGAAACCTGAACTTCGGTAAATCACCTAGTGGGGCCCATTTCAAGTGATATTTTTCCTGCACTGAAAAGGCAAACTCAAGGACTCCGATGTTTTTTTTACGTGATTGTATAGATGATGAAAATCTATATGTTATTTGTGTCCCATTGAATTCCATCAGATCTCCATTTACTTACTGGTGCTTTGTAGGGAATGGATGGGAATAGGGGAATGGGATTATTATTGATAGTTATTGTGGATCATTCCCCCATTCCCTGCTAAGCATTCAAAGTCCCACAAAAACCAACCATCAAATCCAGTTATACCCACGCTGCCTCCTCCCGGATATCAGGTGGCAAGGCTTCCAAGACCACGGCGTCCTTTTTTTGCGAAGATGGGTCAACTGTTGGTCATTTTTGATGGGATAATTTAGCCATGAGAAATGAGGAGTTGCAAGGTTTCAACCATGAAATAAGGGATATTGAGTGGGAATGGGTAGGTATTCAACCATGAAAACATGTACCCTCTGGTTATTTAACATAGCCATGGAAGCCATGGCCCATTTATAGATGGTTTACCTAATAAAAATTGTGATTTTCCATGGCTATGTAACAAATAACCAGTGGGTAATGATACTTAATGGGAACTTGTCGGGATCATCCACCATCAGTTTTTTTTTTAAGGAAAATCGTTGGGATGGCCTTCATGGATATTTTTTCTAACCACTTCGTTCACTGGACGCAAAGAAACCCATGAATTGACATGGGTCATGGTGATACTATGCATAACCCATCGATTTTGTGAAAATTTTGTTGAATGTGGGCGTCTGACATTTTCAGAGGGCACATGATAAGTAGCCAATCGAGTTAGGAATCCCCCATTTTTAGACAAACCCGAATAATTTTATGTGTTGGGTCGTGCAAATTATTTGTGAACCCAAGCCTGCGTCGTAGGAGTATTGTCACAGGAATTGATCAATGTTCGTGCTTGAAATCTCCATATAATATAGTTTGGCCAACTCATCTTTGCAATAACGCTGGCGTAGGCTTGCCGGTGGCGCTATTCAACATCAATATGGCGATTTCTGGAACTGCCGCGGCGATGGCCGCGTGGCTCGCCCCCTTCGCTTCCGGCACACTTCCCAAGGCAGCTGGATTTTGCTCAGAGCGATGATGCCTTGCCCGTTCACTTCTGCTTTGCACCTATATAATCCCTGTTGTCCCTCTTGTCCCTCTTGTGTCTTGCGTGGTCCTACTAGGTGGACTCCTTGAGTCCTTTTCGCGCGCAAACAGTTCGGCAGTTTTCACTGCGAAACTGGAAACTCCTTCCTCATCTCAGAGTCGGACCGTATATGCAAGGATGATGGACAAATCAAAGATGATGGACAATAATTATGACTCATGACTCTTGTTTGTTGTTACTCAAATCGAGATTCATGCTTGACGCTTATTGTAAATACAAAAAATGTACTCTGGATGTTTGTTCGGGGAATTTCTTTGTTTCTGTTTGGCATCAAAACATGAGCCACAGAAGATTACAAACGATGAATAATGAATATATATATATATATACAATAAATAATGTCTAATATATTAATATTAGGAAGCAAACAAAGAACATACTGTAACTATAGTTATGTAAATGTTATGTAGATATGTTCTGCACACACACATATATATATATATATACATACATGCATAGCCAATCATACTTGGGGGTGGAGTTGGTATTATTACTTGCTAAAACCACGATGACACGGCTAATTAAGTTGGGATAGATCCCCTTTAATGTGGGCCAGATACTCGATCATCAGGTGAAGCCCAACCCGATTCTTAGTCATTATTACATTCCGCCTTTTGATGGTCAAATCACGATGTGTTCCCTTCGATATCACATATTCCGAGATTTACGGCTAATTGCTATGGAAATGGTCCATTTGCTTCGGTGATTATTAAATCCTTATATATATATAATCCTATTAAACATGCTGGTTTTCCATAGCTATAGTGAAACATAACCAGAGGCTTTGTTTTGAGGAGTCATAATCACTTGCGGAAATCAATCATCATGGACTGCTGGCAAACCACTGGGGATGCTTGGTTGACGTGGTTAAGAAAGCTTGACCCAGCTGGGATGTGACTATCAATGGAATATGAATGAATAGTAATATGAATATGAAACATTGAAATTATAGTCACCAGGGAAATTATTCAATAGTCCATTTATTTATGGATACCAATAATATTAATGAATGATTTACCATGATGGATAATTTATCATCCATTCATACTCATTAATGTAACATGTCCATTTGTCATCATGGTAATTAGTGAATGAATGAATGATAAATTACCATAAATTACCTATAATAGCTGGACAGTAATGGCATTAATGGATATCAATATAAATAGTTCATTATTCATGGAATATGAATGAATAGTAATTATGGACTATTCTATGAAAATAAGCTGTATTCCACGATATCATTCTATATTTCCATGAATATTGATGTTAGCTTTAAAGGTGGATTTTTTTAAAAAAGTATAACGACATTCAACATTACATGATACACCGAGATATCATCATTGGTTCATGGCCTATCTAGCTAATTCCTAAATTTCATGAAATCACCATGTTTTTTCTCCTGATGGTTCAAGAAATTGCGCACAGCAGGGATATCAACTGGTGATATCTGGGACGCCCCCGTCTCCCAACTGAGGCTCGTACAATCTCTGCCGACGCCGCCTGCAACGGAATTACTGAGGAAGTGGATCTAACCATGGGCGCTATACTGAGATTATGTCCTTACAAATGGGCCATGGATTATAAGCCACAAACTATCCCCAGTTAGGCTTTCCACTTACTCGCTCACCAGCTCTATGGCCCATCTCAGCAGTTTCTCAAAGAGTATGAGGCCCAAAGACATCGATTCCTACTCGTTTTTGTTTCCACCCAAGAAAAAACGTGCAAAGCGGTTCCGGCGGTTTTAAACCGGGATTGGTTCATGATGGGGAAACCCTCAATTTCGATCCACACCTGGACTGGTCACTCTCAGTAGTCTCAGGTGGCCAAAATCACTGGAGCTTTGAGAGGACCCTGGATACATTCCAGACTAAGATTCCATACATTCCCCTGTTTTGTTGCTTGCAACCTTAAAATTAAGCCCATTAGTAATACACCCTCGGCTGCTAAACTGGGAATTACTACTGCAGTTCCACCTCCACGCGGTCAGGTCAGACAGGGTTTATGCAACATTCCCATACAGAGAAAAACTAACATGGAGCCCCACAAAAAAATGCTTGGAGAATTCTCTCAATGTTTCCAGCCTGCGCGGTCGTGGAAGCTGCCTGCGAGATTTACCACCCAGGATATCCAAAAAAAAAATCGCGGTTTTCAGCCAAGAGATCTAAGTTGTGTGTTAAAGTTTTTTTGGGAAGGGATTTGTTTTTTTCCTGGAATTATATATTACAATCAAACAAATGTGATTTTTGTGCGTACAGTGGTACCCTCATCAAGAGGCCTCCAGGAAAGCTACAATAAAGCATCCTTGATCATCGTAGCCTTCATGTTGTGAAATTCGGAGGATCTCAGTGATCGCTTTGTTCATTGCTAAAATGGACGTGGATTGGGTGGAAGGCAACATGCCTGAAATGGTTATTGATATTAGCGACAGTGCCAGATGACATCCATTGCAACAAATTGAGATCTTTCAGGATCAAGTATAAATCATATGTTATGTATATATACTGTGTATATATATATATATGTCTATAGCAACCCCTAAAAACCATAGGTGTTAAAATTATGTTAGTAGGAGATTCCAGTTCTATCTTTTTGGGGGGTTGCTGTACATGTTTTAGCCAAATCAACCAGTCGGAGAAATGGACACAGGAGGAAGGGATATTCACTAGGCCTATCTTCAACCACAAAGTGATTGGATTTTAAATTCCATATGTAAGTATAGATATATCTGGGTAAATGAAAATATTTCACTAACCTGAATCTTGCGGCCATTTGGGGATGATTTCCCTTACTAACCATGATTCCAGGGCTCGGTCACAGTGAGGTCGTGATGAAATTTACCCAGATATATCTATCATAAACCATAGTTATTGGAGTTATGTTCACCACCAACTTAGCTAACCTAACTGGGGCACCACCTTGTAGAAACTCACTTAGGTCCAGTTGAGGTGGATTCCTACGGGATGATCTGCCATCCTCACGATTGCTGAGGGTACCAATGGGTACCACCAATATGATCTTGTCTGGTTGGTGGTCGACCTACCCCTCTGAAAAATATGAAAGTCAGTTGGAATTTGGAATTATTATTCCCAATATATGCAAAAAAATAAACATGTTCCAAACCACCAACCAGTTGTTGTTTTTTATATATATATATATATATCACCATAACATCTCCCAGTGAACATGTTCAAATAACAGCAACTAGGTGACCATCCATGACATCCCGACATCATATCCCTATTACATTTCATGGGAGCTGTCCTTGTCTCAATGGCCTTGTCTCAATGGCCATGTCTCAGGAACCGATTGATTGGAGGTACCTACCATATATATATACACATAAGGCCTATGTCCTATGTAAGGGATATTCCCATTGATTGTCATAGCATCAATTTTTTGACTGTCAGCCCAGCAATGATAAACGTGGTAGAGGCTTTACCAGCCCAGAGGGTAGCCCAGTCAACGTGGTATAGGTGAAAACCTCTACCCTTTGGTTGACGGCGCAGTGGCTTGTGAAGTAAGGCATGAGGACGTCGCGTGCAACAAAAAAAACTTGCGATGATACGGTGGATGGTTGCGAAATCCCCAGTTGATAGGTGGTAAACATCCCATTATTTACCCTCTGGTAAACACAAACATAGCTATTGAAAATGGTGTTTTTTTGTATGTTTACCAGAGGGTAGAGGCTTTCAACCATGCTTTTGGTGGTTTATGGGATTTCGACCGTATGAATTTTGATCCCAATCTGGTCTACGTCTCAATGCTTTGATCAGAGTCTGACCGTAGAACGCTTCATCCCGGATTGATATCCCGTATTACTCCATAAAATACACCTATGATATATGTTTGTGTATATAGATATAAACATATAACAAATACATATGTACATATAATGTTGACCTACGATTTGTAAACTACCCCTGAATAAAGCTAACCAAACCCCCAAACTAAATAATAAACTACCCCTAAATAAAGCTAATTTTTTTGGCCCTTAACCCAGATTTGCCCAGATGGGGCTGAAAAAAAGTTTTATTTGAGGTGGCTTTCATGTACTGATTCAAATTGCCAGCTCATCAGATCTTACCTTGATAACTTCAAATTTTCAAAAATAATGGTTGCTCTTTCTATTCAAAACCTTTATTCAAAATTATCCAAAATCAATCCCAAATCAACTCGTCAAGGGTACCCCCCATGAGGTGCCTTAGCACTAATCAGTGTTTGACCCTGAATAAAGCTAAATGTTTTTGGCCCTAAACCCAGATTTGTCCAGATGAGGCTGAAAAAAATTGTCCATGCTTTAATTGAGGTTGCTTTCATGTACTGATTCATATTGCCAGCTCATCAGATCTTACCTTGATAACTTCAAATTTTCAAAAATAATGATTGCCCTTTTCTATTCAAAACCTTTATTCAAAATTATCCAAAATCAATCCCAAATCAACTCATCAAGGGTACCCCCCATGAGGTGCCTTAGCACTAATTAGAGTTTGACCCTGAATAAAGCTAATTTTTTTTGGCCCTAAACCCAGATTTGCACAGATCCATGACATGAATACTAAATCAATACTAAATCCATGACATGAATACGAGATCAATACTAAATCCATGACATGAATACAAATCAACGCTAAATCCATGACATGAGTACTAGATCAATACTAAATCCATGACATGAATACTAAATCAATACTAAATCCATGACATGAATACTAAATCAATACTAAATCCATGACATGAATACGAGACCAATACTAAATCCATGACATGAATACTAAATCAATACTAAATCCATGACATGAATACTAAATCAATACTAAATCCATGAGATGAATACTAAACCAATACTAAAACAATTGTTGGATTCCTGTTTTTTTTGGAAATTGCATTTTATGTATTCGTTTTAAATTGTGGTAATTGAAAACCTTTACATACAAACAAGTTATTAACTTTATTTGAGGTAATCAAGAGGGGGGGGGGCCCCGGTTTATAAATCAGAGGCAGACATTATATATATATATATATATATTAATTATCTTACATTATGTCATACTATTCCACAAAAGATTCCCCGAAAAAAACATATCCTTAATCTCTCCCTAATCTTAGCTCCCAAAAAATCCTCCCCGTGCCTCGGGAGTTCGCCGCAAGTGGTCCAGGTCTGGGCAAACTATGGCTTTACCCTCTGAACATACAAAAAACGATGGAAAACACCATGTTTATTTGGAGAAAACAAAAACTATAAATGGCAAATCAACTATAAAACAACTGGATACTAATGAGTTTATGTCAATGTTTATTGGGGATGATGTACTATATATATATATATATACATATATAGGGGGATACTAATGGGTTTACATCTATTTATAGATACCTTAATTGGGGATGCGTAGTTTGGGGAAGATCATTCTTGGGATGACTTAACATGATTTGTCTACATAATTTAAGTACGTTTGGCACTCCCAAAAAAATATTCTGAACCTGAGCCATCCTGCAAAAGATTGCAGCATCAAGATTGTTAAAGTACTCATCCGGATTGCCGACTCGCTTATTGTTGGATTGCTATTGGGATGAATATGGATGAATATTGATTGGGATCTATTTTGGGAGCTGGGGATACAATGGGGTATACTTGGTATACTTGGAGGGTGCATCTCATTTAGTAACTTCAACCCATATAGAATTGCCTTATCGCCTTTGCATATATGTATATATGGGTAGATTGTATATTTCACTAACCTGAATTAAGGCCTCCCATCTTCCTTAGCGGGCCCAACCCCAGCTGACCGTAGCCGCAGAGCTGGACCGTCCATGTGTCCTTGACAAGGTCAAACCATGGAAACAGTAAAGCGCCTTGGTCCCTCACGACAGCAAACCAAGTCAACAATCACAAACTCCAAACCTAAAACAAACACCAGTTCAACTGATCAGCACACATAAATAAGGTAAGCAACCTTGGGACCTTATTCTTCACTGTTCCCAATATGACGAGGAAGCCCCACAGTGAGCAGGGGTGAGCGAATCGGCGGTGCGTATGCGTACGACGGTTGCATGGGCTGGACAGAACTAGAGGTCGTCACCGGATTCGCCTCTGCTGGCAGTTGCGTCGGAGGCGCCCAAGGCTCTCGAACCTGCAAGATGAAGTCGTCCTCAAAGTTCAGGAACCTGAATTAAGGCCATATTGGGATAATTCCCCTTACTAACCATGATTCCAGTGAGGTCGCAGTGAGGTCGTTATAATTTACCCTTTCACACATGTCGAAGGTCCGCAGCCTGACGAAAGTGAAACTGCAGCCAGATGGCAAACAAATCGCAGCAACAAAGACCAATAACTACATCAATTATCATCAAGGGTGTGCGTGGTCAGGTCGCCTGGACACGCACAACCACAGTGGACATCGAAAAGCGACCGGCCTGTCACCAAGACTTGCGGCACAAGAAATAACATTCGGAGAATGCGGGAGTGGGACACGCCCAGCCATCCACACATTCCCATATGACACCGCCAAGGCGCAACAAGTGGCGCCGAGTGTCAAGTAAGATTACAAAGCCGGCATGTTGCCAGGCAAAAACACTCGAAGGTTTCCTCCAAGAGATATGTCATTCAAGACAAAAAGGTAACACATTGGCTCAGGCTTAGCTCTCCGGAAGGCTTTCGACATTTTCTCAAAGGAAAGCGTCACTGGACCCAAAGTGTTCGAGATCCCGCCTTACGCTCTTGCGCCCCTGCAAATCACTGCATCCGTTGCGGCACACACTGATTGCAGACACTGGTAAATACCAGCTGTTTTGCTCCAGTCCTCAAGCAAAGCCGCACAATTTGCAGCCTCCTTGCCTGTATGCAAGCCAGTCTTCCCAAACTTTCCACACAAGAGTGAGAATCTGTCCCGCAAGAAGTTTGACGTGTGCTGTCCACGCTAAGCCGCTCACACTTCCGTTCATGGTAAGGCACTTGACGCAGTGAGCATCAAACTGCTGTCTCTCTGGCGAAGAAATGTTTAAAATCCAGGTTGTCACCATAATTTGACACATGGGACAATACCTTGCAAGTCTGGGCATGTGATTTCATGACCGCCGCAGCCCATTGCTGCACCGCAGAAAGCCTCAGCAGCCCGCATGTCAAGGGATCAAGTGTCACATGGCGAGGTCCATGTTGGCTACAGGCATTGCCCACCTCCAAACCACGTGTGATGCCGGCAGGAAAATAAACAGTGGACCAGTTCAGATTCAGCGACAATATACAAATGGCAAAAGGCAGAAAGCCAGTAGTCCCCAAGATATTGAGAATGCCAACAAATGATCTGAGCATGTAATTAGCCAGGGCACCAAATGGCCAGTCATGCAATGACGAGCCCAGGGCTGAAGCAACTCCGAAAAAGGCATGGCTCATTCGCCCCAGTGACATGAGCTGAGAACAAGCTCGGCACGGGAAGCCTGAGCCCCAGAGCTTCGTTATAATTTACCCAGATATAATATATATATATATATGTATGTATGTATATATACATACCTGAATTATATTACTATACTATGGTCAAAAAAAAAACTATGGATCCAAACACCTGAAAAGTACTGAACGCCCCCAAATCATACCCTAAATACTTCAGGAGATATTTGGATCCATAGGGTCCCTACATTATTGTTATTGCCAATACCCACTTGCTAGCTGGTTATTAATAGTCTGGTTGGTGGTTTTAACCCCTCTGAAAAATATTAGTCAGTTGGGATGATTATTCCCAATATATGGAAAAATATAACATGTTCCAAACCACCAATCATTAGTGTTCTTAATATTATGGTTACTATAACTATGCTTAGTAAACACGCCTACTCGCATGGGATCCATCTCCAGCCGGCAACCCACCGTGCCACGCCCATCCGCTGACGTCGTCGCCAGGGGCCGGGCTGGCTTGTGACACTTCGGCCATCACTACCGAGGCGCGTATGTCCTGTGGACAGTTCAGAGCCAGGGATAAAAAATCATGGTTGGTCTAAAAAAGTGGCGTAACAATGGTTAAACAATTGGATTAGTGGTTGATCATGGTGAAATTTGGATGATGCTAATCATAGTGATTAATCTTGGATTAATAGTGCGTTAGTTCATATTTCATGATTAAGCGATATTTATGTGGAGAAAAACCCTCCGGGAATCATCATTGCCATGGCAATCAAACATCTGAAGGAGCTGAGATGCTTGCACTGCCAAGCGATGAATTCCGAGAGGCACTTCTGTGAAGGTCACCCAGGGTCCAACTTGGCAGCTTTGCTTCCTCGTCCTTGTTGGTAGCACGTCATTTTTTGGCACAGACTGTCCCGGCCATCCACCTGCAGCCATTGAGCGGACCTGTCCGACAGGTCCGGCCAGATCCTTTTTGGCCGGCGGAGTGCTGCTTGTCTTGGAGCAGCTCCAAAGGTAACTTTGGTTTGCCTCATTAAGGCGTGCTTCTCTGCCGACAGGGCGTCCCCTGTGTATTTGTGTTTTATGAAACTTCAAGTCATGAAACCACTGTTGATGAAGAAAGCACCTGAATAACCCAAGAAAATAATCCGCATAAGTGAGATTTAACCTTTAAACACTATGGGATTTACCTAGCAAACCTTTTGAGCTTTGACCCATGGGATTTTGCCGGACAGCTAGCCAAACCGAGGAGTGCACCAACAAGACTTGGGGATCCTAAGAAAGTTTGATCATCAAAGATGGCAGTGGAAAAAAAAGAAGACAACACCTGGTTGGTTATAGAAATGGCCTAGTTATAAACCTGCTTAGCTATCGCAAATCAACTAGATAATTTCTGGTTGGTGGTGCGATAACCATCTTGAAAAATATGACTTCGTCAATGCGAAGGATGACATCTCATATGGAAAATAAAAGCCATGTTTGAAACCATCAACCAGACCAAACATCCATTCTCCGATGATGTTTCTAGGACCAATTTTGCGGACCGCCATCTCAAAGGGAAATGTGAACAGGCGGAGAGAACCACACCAAAAATGAGAATCACTCAAAATGCGGACAACAAAAATCATCCATGAAGGCGTTGCCCAAATTGCTATGCGGGTTAAACACATATGCAATGTTTTGGCGGAGGAAGCAACTCAGAATGGAGATGTGCTAACAAGTGGTATTGGTGACTCCTTGAATACTCAAATTGACCCCCACAGAAAAAGAAATGGAAATAAATGGAAGACGATTTTCCCAATGTCACGGCAATCCAACCCCTTACAAATCCCATTATATATAACAACCAATAATAAGGTCTTCACGATCTTAACGTCTTAAGCATCTATCATTGGGAATCCGGATCACCCTTGAGGGAGGTTTGGTTGAATCTCGATGAAAATAATGAAAACTGATGGACATAGCATTGTGGTGGGTCCAGGGTGTCCTTGTAGTTTGGTAAAGCCACCCCAAGCCTAAACGAAGAAACATGAAGAAACACGTTTTGTTCAAATAGAAAAATTGGCATTGAAATAGGAAATTCAATAAACATCATCTAGAAAAGAGCCTCGAACCTCTTAGCGCATCCGTACTCAAGCCCAATCAAATATGCCTACTGTAACTTGGTTTCTATGCGCTCAGGAGCGATGCCGAACCCAAGGAATTGAAAATCGCATTGCAGCTCTTAGTTCATGAAACCTATGATGACCCATGAAACCATGACTGGCAACCATTAAGATAAGTGGGGATCATTTCTGGTTACTAACCACTTATGATAGTTAATACATCGCAAGTCATCTTTCCATCCCCAATGATGTTACTTAAACCATTTATCAACTCAAACAGATTCGAGATGTTGTTGAAACCGTTCATCATGAAATCCTGCCAAACATTGCCCTGGGCTTCTTTTGTTGGATCATAGATCTTAAATAGACAGTGCCCCACGATGATGTTACCATCTGGTTATGACTAACATAGCAAACTGTAAAATCCCCCCATACTAATAGGTAAACCATCTATTTCTACGGGCAATGGCTTCCATGGCTATGTTAAATAACCAGAGGGTAGATCTTTTTTTGTGTGTGTAACTGTACGCATAGTGTGTGTGTGTTTTTTTGGTTGTTTTTTTCGAAACTGTACACATAGATATCTCTACGGTAAAGCCAACATTATCCAGGAATGTAGCGAACATCAATCACAAATAAATCCCAATTTTGGATGGGTTTCAACCCCCAATCAATCCAATAATTTTGGATGGTTTGAGACCACATAAATCCATCTAAATCCCAATTTGGGTTGGTTTATAAATCCATCTAAATCCCATCATAAATGCCATCATAATCTCACAAATCCCATGAAAATCCCTAGTTTTGGAAGATTTTGGATAGGTGAAATCCATCTAAATCCATCTAAATCCCCATCTAAATCCATCTATAGATCCATAAATCGCAGCCCCAAAGGGGTCCCTCCCTGACCGCGCTGGCTGGCCGCTGGCTGGCCATCGCGCCTCTGGCAGTGCCGCCACCACCGAGACGTCGATGCTCGCGGCTTGGAGGATGGCAGACTGGCTGCAGCCCAGCCTCCGGGGGTTCGCCGTAAAGGGGGGGGTATGGATGTTTAGGGTGATCTATGGTGATTACCATCTGGTTATGACTAACATAGCCATGGAAAATCACCATTTTTAATAGGTAAACCATCTGTAAATGGGTCATTTCCCATGGCTATGTTAAATAACCAGAGGGTAAATGTTCATAAGCATTCAAGCCATATATCACTAGTTTGTTTCCCAAGAAAATCATAAGCCATAGATCACTAGTTGTTTTTCCCAACAACAAATCACGCATCACTGGCGATATGTTGAAGGAACATGAAGGAACCAACCATTTGAACATCAAAATTGAGCAGTGTTCAAAACCCGCAAGGTCATTCATTTTTACTGGTATGCTAACACAAAAAATACCAGTTCATGGATGATGATCATTTTACTTAGGTAGGAACATCATAGGGTTTTGAACACTGCTCAATTGAGGAGTTGAACTTGTATGAATGGATCATATGGAGACTTTATGATTTGATCAACAACGATGAGGATTGAAGCAATTGAAGCAGCAAATACAGGGAAGGCATTTCTAGGAATGGTGGCGCCAAGTGTTCGAAAGAATCAAGGTTCAACATGGTTCAACAGGAATTCGGATTCGCAGTGAGTAGGTGTATTCTAGCACAGCCCTCAAAATTGTTTGCCATCCAAGCAATCCTAAATATCATTAGATTGGTTTACGGGAAAATTTACAGGAACCCCCCATATTTAATGGTAAAAACCATGGTTTCCTGTAGATTTTCCCTTAACCCAATCCAATGAAAATATTTACAGGAGGGTATGTCTCAAAATCGGATACCTGAAACGCTTGGTCTTATATTTTGACCCATGACCATGTAGGTAGCTATTTTTCATTACTGGGTTATGCCGTGTATGTACTTGTACTTTGCGCGTATGCACTTTGAAGCTATATATATAATATATCATGTCATATCATATCATATCATATCATATGATGTAGAACAGTATATACGGTCACATATAATAGGCCCTTTGCCTAGGGACAATCGACTGTCCCGCAGATCCAAGCAAAGTCAAGCTTGCTCTGAAATAGTATCTAGCCGAATGGGCTGTGCCATTCACACATTTCCACAGAATTCATCACTACCCCCCACTCAATGGATTGATTCATGATACCCTCTGGTAATTTAACATAACATAGCGATAAACAATGACATTTATAGTGAGTTTTCCCATCAAACATGCTGATTTTCCATAGTTATGTTAGATTACCAGAGGGTATATGCTACAAGAAACTAGAAACCATGCTGATTGGCCCCAAAATGGAATAATATTGATTGTCTACTATCGTTCACACAAACCGATTCCGGGATACACCTCATCAATGTTCTGCCGTTTCAAACAGTTTCCCGTCCCCCCGGTATCATTTGTTGAGGTAAGTTAACATTGTTATCAAATCTCCACATTCTTTCGACCACAAAGAACCACTATGACATGATCGCATTTTTTGGTCAGTTGCAGCAGTTCACCAAGCCATGAGTTCGGAGATCAAATCTTGACATCCCATGGCCCATGCTGATATGGAACATCCACTTAGCAGATCCAAGACTGAGCGGCCCACATCAGGATGTGAGGAATGTTTCACCTGAAGCAAATGTAGGATATGTCATGTTGATTCATTTTGGCTCTCTGGCATGCACCTATATGTAGAGAAACTGATCTTGGACTCCAGAGCTGTCACCGCCAAAGCGTGGAGCGCCCCATGTCACCACATTTCCATCTGCCAAGATCGCAGCAAAAGCGTTTGACGTGCCACTAACCTGCTGAACATTGCTGAGCTGACCCTGGACTCTGGAGCTGTCACCACCACGGTCTGGATCGCCCCAGGTCACGACGCTTCCATCTGCCAAAATCGCAGCAAAAGCAACAAGCGTGCCACAAATTCGCTGAACATTTCTGAGCTGATCTTGGACTCCAGAGCTGTCACCGCCAAAGTGTGGCGCGCCCCATGTCACCACATTTCCATTTGCCAAGATCGCAGCAAAAGCGTTTGACGTGCCACTAACCTGCTGAACATTGCTGAGCTGACCCTGGACTCTGGAGCTGTCACCACCCCAGCCTGGATCGCCCCAGGTCACCACACTGCCATCTGCCAAAACTGCAGCAAAAGCACAGTCTGTGCCACAAACCTGCTGGACATTCATGAGTTGATCTTGGACACTGGAGCTGTCACCACCCCAGCCTGGATCGCCCCAGGTCACCACACTGCCATCTGCCAAAACTGCAGCACAAGCACAGTCTGTGCCACAAATCTGCTGGACATTCATGAGCTGATCTTGGACACTGGAGCTGTCACCACCATAGCGCGGATTGCCCCAGGTCACGACGCTTCCATCTGCCAAAATGGCAGCAAAAGCACTCCGTGTGCCACAAATCTGCTGCACATTCATGAGCTGACCTTGGACTCTGGAGCTGTCACCGCCAAAGTGTGGAGCGCCCCATGTCACCACATTTCCATTTGCCAAGATCGCAGCAAAAGCGCCTGACGTGCCACTAACCTGCTGAACATTGCTGAGCTGACCCTGGACTCTGGAGCTGTCACCACCCCAGCCTGGATTGCCCCAGGTCACCACGCTTCCATCTGCCAAAATGGCAGCAAAAGCACTCCGTGTGCCACAAATCTGCGGCACATTCCTCAGCTGATCTTGGACTCTGGAGCTGTCACCACCAAAGGCTGGATTGCCCCAGGTGACAATTCTGTGTCCCCTGACACACCACAGAGCAAACGCACCCCCTGTTGCAGCTATCTTTGGCTGCTGTGCAACAGCAGTGAGGCTGTCGCCATCTTCAAGCCCAGAAAGTCGCACAGAGTCTGTCGGATCTACAAGGCGCCCATTAGCTGTAGCAAGTCTCAGGAAAGGTTGCCCCAATGACTGTTGAGCAGCAATTTTCACATCACCAATGGTGCCAGACTCCAAGACCGAGACAGTTCCACACCGTCCACTTGGCAAGGAGACCTCAAGTTTGATGGAATTGACAGCCACCCCGCGGCTCCCGGCTTTGCGCTTCATGGCAAGGCTGCAAAGGTGTAAGTGTAGCTAAACAAATCCAAATGGGAAAAAGACATGGCCAAATCCATGCGTATACCGTAAAATTATGTATGATATACTGGATATACTGTGCTCAATATGTGCTTATTAGTTGCAAGTTGGACTGAGACTGTGATTTTTCCATGAGATTCTGAGATGAATATACTTACTGTTCCTGAATCTTGATGAATCTGACTAGTAAATTTCATCGACAGTTTTAAATGTCTTGAGTTTTTTAGGTTCGCAGCTTCAGTTTGAACCCCTTTTTTTCCGGCGTTTTGCTGGTGAATCCGTACCTCTTCAGCACATCAATGGAGATGAACTGACCCATTGTGGCGTCGTATCGCAGGTCTTGCAGCCCTCAAAAAAGACAGAAAAAACGCTGGGTTTTCGCCGCCACTGTCACTTAGGTTACTTAAAATCACCCCTTTAAGGTGAAATCGTTCCTGCATTTCGCGGGGCCGCGAGAGTCATCCATTCTTAACAAAGTACACCTGACAAATGGCAAGTGTTTATTATAAAGTAAGTTGATGTTCATTGCGTTTTACCTTTTTATCTAACAACACCGCCTAAATACGTTTTTTTGTTTTTCCACCGTTTTTTTCTCTATAATGTTGGTAAAGTTGGATGCTGATTAGTGTAGGGCCCCCCAAACAATTTGGGTATATTCAATAACTCGGCATTTTCTTGGGTACCAGGTCTGGGGAATTCAGGATGATCAACTTAAGTAAGGATTTCAATTGATGCCAATCTTATTTCAATTGATTTTCATTTAAAACCTAAAAGAAGTCTATTGATAAGAAAGGATTTCAATTGTTGCCAATTTGCTTTCAATTGTTTTTCCTTTTAAGCCTTAAAGAAATCTATTGATAAGAAATTGTTTCAATTGAAATCAATCTACGTTCAATTGTTTTTTCCTTTTAAACCTTAAAGAAATCTATTGGTAAGACATGGTTTCAATTGAAATCAATCTACTTTCAATTGCCTGTCCTTTTAAACCTTACAGAAATCTATTAGTAAAGATTTCAATTCACATCTAACTAATTATTTGGTGAAATTTGCATTTTCAGGATCTAAAAGGCATATTGCTTTCTAAAGTAAATGGACCAGCTTTTCCCAAAGATAGGTGGATAAAGGGTTTTGTGTTTCTTTCACCCAGATTTTTTGTGTGCACAATAGGTACCATCCAACCCATATAATGTTTATTATTAAGGATCTGGGTCACTCATGGGGTACCCCCCTGAAAAATTGTTTGGGCGCTGTTTTTTTTTAATGTTTAATAAGGCATCCACTTATTTTGGGAACCTTGCAGTTTAAGGATCTAAAGTGGATATGGCTTTTTAAAGTGAGAATGTTGATGTTGTTGTTGATGTTGTTGTCATTTTGCTTGCTGCCTGGGCTGCGAGGGACAGGTGTGCAATTAAAGGTATTTTTTTTGAGAGCGGCTTAAGCAAACGCGCTTCTACAATGTGCACGCCTTCACCCCCCCTCATCCTCCCTTCAGTTTTTTTCCCCAGATTGTTCCTCCTGAAAAAATTGGGTCTGGAAAAAAGTCTCACAATAGAGGCCCACCCCCTCAATTTCAGGATCCTGATTTATTTTTGAAAAACATCTCACAATAGGGGGACCGTCACTTTAATCAGCACATTACATTAAAGCAATAGCAATCCCAATATTTTACCATTTTTATGGGTGTAGTTCCACCATCAATTTATATGGATGGTTTATCATTATTGCCAACAATCCAACATGAGTTTTTCACGCAAATACTTCCTGAGAAGGAACAAGAGAACCCCCAATTCATGCCCCAGTCATACTCCCGCAAAAGGTACGGCTGGATCCATATATGGATTTATGAAACGCCATGAAGAAGTGGTGTAAACCCTCCATTTTTATGGCAGTTTTATGGCATTGCTTTACTCACACCCACTCAATCCCAGTAATTCCCAATTTGCTGATGGTTACTGTAGTCCCTATAGAATCCCTTTACAATCACTATTATTTGTTGATGGTTCATCCCCATTTTATCCAAGAGATTTTCAGGACCCTAAAATGAAGGTACTGTACCATGCAAGGCCATATTTGGTGGCGATATTCCATTACATAGCCCTAAAAAATAGGCTTTTTTTTTGTGGAATCGGTACCTCCAATAAATCGACCCCTGAATGTACATTGATTTGAGATCAAATCGGTACCCTCTGGTAAACTAACGTAACTATGGAAAATCACCATTTTTAATGGGAAAATTCACTATCACTATACATGGCCATTTTCAATAGCTATGTTAGTTTACCAGAGGGTACCCCCTGTCAAATCGTTGTAGAAAGATGAAGAAATCATGCTACCTGCTACCTGTTGTTTGGCCGGCGGCGAAGCTTCCGCCTGCGTGCCAGGCGCTCCAACTCTCCGATCCCCAAACCACCGGCTTCGCTGTCCTGGGGGAGAGCCTTGGGGGATGAACTTGTGAACCAAGAAACATTGAGATTAAGTATAACTATGTCATTGACTTAAAGAAAAAAATCGCTAACAATAGTTGAAACATGGGGATGAAGTGACTAACCAACAAAACTTATATAGATCTTAACATTGGGATTTAACCAATAAACAACTCAACAAACTGTATTTTTACTTGAGAATATCCCTGTTACTTGCCGGTTGATGCCTGCACATACTCTACTTATTAATTGTTATATTTTCCATATTTCCATTATATCCCCATTATATCCCCACTCATTGTTGTCAATTCCATTGCTGATTGACTCCATATGGAGAATGGTGATGATCATTGATGATCCATGGTTATGTAAGTTTACTCAAGGGTATCCCGGTTATTTGCTGGTTCAACATAGCTATGGAAAATGACCCAATCATAGTTCATTTACATATTAAAAAGTGGTGCTTTTCAATAATTATGTAAACGTTTACCAAAGGGTATATTCCTACATTGTATACTTGGAATCTTATTGTAGGAAATAGTATATTCAATAGTTATGATTCCCTACAATGAATATTCAAGAGCTCCTACAATTCCATTCAATAGTTTACCCTCTGGTAAACTAACATAACTATGGAAAATCATTATTTTCAATGGGTAAATCCACTATAAATAGCCATTTTCAATAGCTATGTTAAATTACCAGAGGGTAACCATTCCTTGGAATCTTCGGTCCTCCTGCATTGGAGCCGCTGTTTCGCTTGCCGCGGATTCTGCCGCGGCGAGCGAAGTCGCCGCCGGGGCGGGGCCCGGCGGGGCCGGCGCGGGGGCGGCCTGGTGGAGCTTGGAGGGTCCCCCAAGAAGTGCTTCATAACCATAGTTATAATCCATTGATAGATGAGAGAATGAAACGAAGTAAGGACTTACTAACCAGGCTTACTGACCAGTTACTTAAGCGGAAAATGGAGGACTCACCCAGCCATTTTATGTTGGCTTCATGGTTTTTTTCCCCACATCTTTGTGTGGGGTTCTTGTTTTTGATTCTGTATCCCGGGCTCCTTCTCCTCCTCCTCCTCCCGCCTCCTTACTTCACACACACAAACTTAACATACAATAACTTCACACACACAAACTCCACACACACACAAACTTAACATACAATAACTTCACACGCACAAACTTAACATACAATAACTTCACATACACAAACTTCACACACACAAACTTAACACACACAAACTTAACATACAATAACTTCACATACACAAACGTAACATACAATAACTTCACACACACACAAACTTAACATACAATAACTTCACATACACAAACGTAACATCATACAATAACTTCACATACACAAACTTAACACACACAAACTTAACATACACACACAAACAACACACTCCCACACACACACACACAAAACACAAACTTAACATACACACACACAAACAACACACTCACACACACAAACAACACACACACTCACACACACAAACAACACACTAACACACATCCACCGTCGTTTTGCGTGGCAGTTCAACAACACACAGACACATATACACACACACACAACAACAACACAACAACACATACACACACACACACAACAACACACAGACACATACACACACACATACAACAAACACACACACACAACACACACACACATACAACAAACACACACACACACATACAACAAACACACACACAACACACACACATACACACACATACACACACACACGTGACGCCGCGCCACTTCTGCGTGGCAGGCGTGGCACTTGGTGACATCCACCTTGATTTCACGTGGCAGGCGTGGCACAACCTCACATCTACCGTCGTTTTGCGTGGCAGGCGTGGGCAGATGGCACTGGGTGGCGCGCTTGGACTGGTTTAGGCGCCGCCGTGACGCCCGTGACGCCGCGCCACTTCTGCGTGGCAGGCGTGGCACTTGGTGACATCCACCTTGATTTCATGTGGCAGGCGTGGCACAACCTCACATCTACCGTCGTTTTGCGTGGCAGGCGTGGGACAATGGCACTGGGTGGCGCGCTTGGACTGGTTTAGGCGCCGCCGTGACGCCCGTGACGCCGCGCCACTTCTGCGTGGCAGGCGTGGCACTTGGTGACATCCACCTTGATTTCACGTGGCAGGCGTGGCACAACCTCACATCTACCGTCGTTTTGCGTGGCAGGCGTGGGACAGATGGCACTGGGTGGCGCGCTTGGACTGGTTTAGGCGCCGCCGTGACGCCCGTGACGCCGCGCCACTTCTGCGTGGCAGGCGTGGCACTTGGTGACATCCACCTTGATTTCATGTGGCAGGCGTGGCACAACCTCACATCTACCGTCGTTTTGCGTGGCAGGCGTGGGACAGATGGCACTGGGTGGCGCGCTTGGACTGGTTTAGGCGCCGCCGTGACGCCCGTGACGCCGCGCCACTTCTGCGTGCCACGTCTACCGTCGTTTTGCGTGCCAGCCGTGAAACAAATGGCACTGGGTGGCGTGCTTGGACTGGTTTAGGCGCCGCCGTGACGCCTGTGACGCCGCGTCACTTCTGCGTGGCAGGCGTGGCACTTGGTGACATCCACCTTGATTTCACGCCTGGCAGGCGTGGCACATGGCAGGCGTGGGACAGATGGCACTGGGTGGCGCGCTTGGACTGGTTTAGGCGCCGCCGTGACGCCCGTGACGCCGCGCCACTTCTGCGTGGCAGGCGTGGCACTTGGGACATCCACCTTGATTTCACGTGGCAGGCGTGGCACAACCTCACATCTACCGTCGTTTTGCGTGGCAGGCGTGGGACAGATGGCACTGGGTGGCGCGCTTGGACTGGTTTAGGCGCCGCCGTGACGCCCGTGACGCCGCGCCACTTCTGCGTGGCAGGCGTGGCACTTGGTGACATCCACCTTGATTTCACGTGGCACGCGGTGTGGCACAATCTCACGTCCATGACGCCAGCAGTTGATCATGACTTGATTACCAGCCACAGGGCATGCAGAAAGAGTTCGCAAAATTTGCGGCTTCGCCCGAAAGAGTGCAGAACATTACTTTGGTCAGCGGAAGTATGGAGAGCACACCATCGCTTTGATAGAGGCTCTGCCATAAAAGATCTTTCGGGAAGCAACGTCGGGAAAAAACCATCAGAGCCTGGTGGAACTCGAAGAAGGCGGGTGAGACACGTCGTGAGACCTAGTGTTCAGCACACACCCTTGGATCCCACAAAGAATTTCCGTGGTAAGCATATATTGTTTCTTTTCTGGCCTTCAGTGACAAGTCACTATCTTGTGGAAGAAACACCACCAGACGCGCAACTTTGTCACACACACACACATACACATACATACATACATACATACATACATACATACATACATACATACATACATACATACATACATACATACATACATACATTCATACATTCATACATACATACATACATACGTACATACGTACGTATGTACATACAGACATACGTATAGTACGTACGTACATACATATATATATATACATACATACGTACATGCATACTATCTTTTCACATACTTTCACACACAGTCTTTCACCACCTCCTTTGTCTTTCCTTCCTTCTCCGACCCCGCTACAACCTTTGAAACTCATTATTGGAAGAAGTTGACTTGTGGGGTTATCCGGTCCTTTAATTTGATTTATCAATAGAAATGAGGATGGGAACCTGCTCCAAGTAGCGGACGCCGCCATCAAAAACCGGGAGAAAATCATGAACCACAACTGGATTTTGGGGTATTGTATGTTCTTACAAACCCATATCAAGCAACAAACATAGAGTGTTGCTTTAGAACAAACAAACATGGGGCATGAAGCAACAAACGTGGCGCTAGTATGTGCTACTAAGGTATATGATAAAGTGACTTGTCGTTTAGGTTTTTCAAGAAATGGGTCCGTGTGAAAATGGGGTCCGGTGAACCATGATGATTAAGCATCACGTTTGCATTTGTTCCCCCTATTTTCTGAACAGATCCAAATTATAACCCCCTATTTGGACATATCTGTAACAACATGCATAAACCATAGTTTGCCTGGTCAAAAAACAACTTCGCTATCAAAAAAAACAGCTTTTCTGGAAGTCACAGCCGCTGTGCATTTTGCAAACCCTCCACCACGGAATTTCTCAAAGGAACTTTGGCCTCTGAGATCTTGGAACCTGAAAGTTCCCTCTGCTTTCACTTGACCTGAAAAAAGAACATGATTTATGAGTTTGCGATATGGCTATGAGTCAAAGCATGTCAACCCTGGTACCTAAATGGTACCCGGAAATAGCATGAAATAGCTGGTCAATGGATGATTAATTTGTCCAAATATGATAATTCCAATAGGTTTTGACCCATCCTGGCCCATCCCCATATGAACATGATGCCTTTCCATTTCCAAGTTAGTTGCTTCAATACACATCCTATAAATCATCCGAAAACTGCGAATTGTCTCTGCCCACGGGAATAAACACTCTCTCCCCACCTGAGTCGTCCCATTTTTTGAACCCAACATCTCAGCAGAATGGGATTCGTCAGGCCCTTCCCCTTGCAAGTTGCCATCACTCCACGGAGTGATGGAAGTACCCAGATCGGAAAAAAACAGCAGATTCGCTTCGGGAGACTCCCCCGGGTGATGGGCCAACCGAAAGATACCACGCATTGGGATTCAACCAGCACAAAAATTAGTTGTTTATCAAATAATAAGTCCCGAATTAGAAGTTCCTCAAAGGCAAACAGCATAAACATCCCGGCGGACCTGACACCGGCCCATGATTGTCCAAAAATTGTTGTTTCGCTGTGGCGCCAGCGCGATTTCATGTGGCAAACGACCATCAAAAAAAACATCCGCTTTACTGTGGCTTGCAACCCTTACAGGGTTTTGTGCTGCAAAACCCGACGAACGAACAACGTGGCCTTTTCTCTTCACCGCATGAGAGATCTTACAGCTTCGCCAGTTGCGGTCAGCAAGTCGAAGCCAGTGTGT